TTGAAAATTGGAAATTAACATACTGTACCCTACTACCTTTTCTTCTTTGGTCTTTAGAAACACTCCTATTAATTTGAGTTAGCATTAAAAAGAGAATAAATGCAATACCTTACTAAGTGTTGACATTTGTCAGTTTGAAAAAGACTGAAACCATTCTTATTGTTAAGGTGTTCTTCTACTCATAGCAAATTTTACACTCGCATTACATTTTTTTTCTTTAAATGGTATCTCGTAATTTCAATTTCATTTCAAATACATAAATTCTAAGATATTCCAACACTTTTTTACTTGTTTCTCCTTAACCCATCTTTGAATATTAAATCTCTTTCAAAAAAGCAATTATTTTGCTTTATAAACCACCAACTCAAATAAGATTTTGGCATTTCCACTTTCAGAAATCTTCATAGATTATATTCCTAATCTGTCACAGCAGGTTTACATACACTGTCACAGCATACAATCTGACTATTAAATATAGAATTTCAGGAAGTATGTGCACAAGAAGAAAAAACATGGAGATACTAATTATGGGTACATTTAAGTTTCCTAACTATAACTAATGCTTATTCTGTAGAAGCCACAAATATTCATCTTAGAAAATAATTTCAGATACCTTATAAATACAGTTTTTCCCTAAAAGCAGTAAGGAATGGTGAAATTCATTAGCAGCAGAAGAAATTCATTCAGCAGCAGATATTTATACTCTCTTACAGAATATAAGAATAAGAGTCTCCTACTCTGTTGTTTCAAGTACCCACCCTGGATGGCCTACAAACACTTGCAAGAGTTAGAAACGTGCTCCCCATTCTTTTGTGCTAAGGACAAAATAGCAATATAAATAAAATAATCACTATATTTTTATATTTACAGTTTAGATACTAAGACACTATCTACCATTGATTGATGGTATTTACTAATAAGATATCATTTATAAATACAATATCTTTCAGTCTTACAATATAATTTTTATTAAAACAATATACCTTTAAATTTTAGCAGGCCATTAAAATACAGAACTTTGTAAAAAAAACATTTTACAGCAAGAACTGAAGTCTGTGACATGCTGGTGTGATTAAAAGCTACACCAGAGATTTTAATAGGATAAGCACACAATTGACTAGTGAGCTTTAAAAATAGGGTAGCACTGAGCTCCTAATCACAAGCATCATTAGCTTTAGTTTTAAAACTTATCAGCAGAAAAACACAATTTCACCAACTACACAGAATTTCTTTTCTGTGCAACAGCTTACATTCAGATGACTCTAAAGGAAGACCAGGTAATATTTATGATATTACCCTAACTTAGAAAGTAACATAGCACAGAGAATAACATTTATGCCAATTTCACTGCTTGCTACTCAGCAATGTGAAAATCTTGGTAGCAATCTAAAATATGAATAGCCATAATTTACAAATATGGCAGTAAACCACTTCCAAATCCTTTATTAACCTCATTCCAGAATTATAACATAATAATAAAAAAGAATATTTTGTATATCATAAACTGATCCTGCAGACAGATGACAGGTTTGACATAGTAAAATATCATATTAGAAACAGAATACTAAGGATGTAGTAGAAAAAGGCAGCAAGAAAATAAAACCTGGAACACATCCCACAGTAACTTCTGCTACAATCCTTTCTTCATCAACAGCAGCATTTTATATTTATATCTTATATCAACCCAACTTTTGGCATCATTTACATAATCATGGAATTTGGTTCATTAATCTTGTTATCAAGAGGAGTTTGCAACTTTTAATTTTTGTACATTATGATACCAACCTTCCTTCTGCTTTTCAATCACTTACTGTCCTGAAAATACTCGTATATTGTCAATATATCTCCTTTTTTCCACAAATACACATCCCTACATTATCGCTGACCACATTAGACATTACAGCAAGACCAATGTCCACTCGTATTACAGTCATACCTTCATATTGCTTTGTAGAACTACTCATAATCTACATAACTGCTCACACTAGGATCTGGGATCATGGTACTAATGAAATTAATTTCCATTCAGGTGTAACATGAAATTCCCCTCTGAAATTCTATAACCAAGAACTCTATACAGGTCCTCACATACTCACAAAGTACACCATTAATGCGTATTTCCTAAATGCAACTAAGTGTTGAGAGATAAATGAGTGCTGAGGGTTTCCAGGGGAACTGGAACTCTATTTAAAGCCTCTTACTAATTAGATCACTAACTAAAACCTACCTCAGGTAAATATAAATATATTATATAAATAATGGCTATTCTCTTAGAAAACTCTTAAGGTAGACAGTAACAGATTTTTTCACTAATCCAGTTCTTTTTGTTTAGCAACTATAACATAAATGTTATGAAAGGATACATTTAATGTGTTTTAGTTGAATTTAGAGATCTAACTGGTTCATTGAGATGATAGAGAATAAAAAATTGCCACATCTCAGTGTTACTGCTTAGACCAAAACATAGAGTAGCATTGAGTAAAAGAGGTAGCGTAACTCTACGCTGATGAGCAGGGAAAAGCAGTCCTATTAAAACCTATTCATTGTAAACTGCTCAGTATCTGCAAGCCATCACATCCTTGCTACTGAGATAGCTAGATTAAAGCTAGTACATTCAATTCCACTTTGATCGTAGCCTAGAAACAAAGACTGCTCCTGGAGATACTTTCAAATTTTGAGCCCACAATATTTCCCTTCAGAGCCTAACAGAGTCAATGTCCTGTCAGTCACATCACAGCAAATAATATGAACTATATTTAATGATACATAGAAAATATACATTGGATATTCAGTCTTGGCATAGAAATCATGCAGTACTAGTGATATTCCTTGAACTTGATAGCAATACCTCTACATTAATTTACTATCAGTATAAAATAGTATATTGACTCTGAAGCATAATTCAAATTCAATAGATCATGGTCTGGTAAAATTCTAGGTACAGAGTTCAACATTTCTATTTGTACTGTTTCTTGAAACAAACAGAAGTACAAACCTAGATAAAGACTAGGTTATGGAGAATAATGAGAAGCAAATTATAAGCAACTCCATCCATATGACTATGAAAAACATTTCAGAAACCTGTAATGAAGGTGTTTGCTAATCTGTTCTGTTCAATCCACTCTGTTTATGAGGAAAACAGCCTAACGATTAATTCTTCCAGTCTGTCTAGTCCTGGTTCCCAAGCTTTTCTGATTGCCTAACCTTCCTTTGCAGAATTTACTTTTTAGTAGGGAAAACAGGGGAAAAGGTTGCCACCCTCCTTATTGTTTAGGGTGTCACATCTCACATCCCTTGAGCCAAACAAGACCACAGCTGACAGCCACAGTACTGTTAAAGCTCGAATGCTGCATACGGTAATTGGAGCAATTTCAGGTGTTCTCTCAGAACAAAGCATATTGAAGGGGGAAATTTTTTTCTCCCTAAAAGCTACAAGATTTCCCCCTCACCACTCTTTACCATAAGCTCAAAGAGAGCTATACGGGTTCAAGAGAGCTCTGAAACCTTCACAGAATTGCAGACAATTTTGAGCTGAACTGCTTTTTTCTCCCTAAAAAACCCCATACTATTTCTAGAACTCATGAGGTCAAACTGCATGTGGGGAGGTCAGGAGGAAGCATTTATGACTGGCTCTAACTCATCCTACTTACATGGTATGAGATACACACATTTTAAATTCCATGACTTCAGATACATGATAAAAATTTTTTCAATATCTGGGAATATTTCTAGAGATCATAACCACGTTCAAATACTCATAGCTATAGACTAACATATATATATATTGGAAGTTAAATTTCAAGATTCTAGCACCGAAGGACATTTCAAACATTAATTCGATATTTAAGGATTAATATGAAACATCTGACTTCCATATTTTACTATGTTCTTCTTTTACTACTACCTAAAAGTAGTACTCATCCTAGGTCAAAACTATTTATGAAATACTGTAAAATCTTGGGGTTTGTTATTCTGAATATTTATCACAAGAAGAGATTTGTACATATATGCACAAAAAATGTCATAAAGCTTGTGTTCCGTATGCTGCTGGAAAAATCTATCATCACTTAAGTAGTTACTTTAATAAAAAAGAGCTTATCTGGGTATGCAGTATTAAAGAGAATCAAAATGACAGGCAGTGAAATAAATCACTGCAAAGGAAGAGTGAAGATTAAAATAATTAAACCTAAGAAAGGAATATCAAAGTTGATTCAGAATCACATTTATGAACATCATCTGAAAAAGACTGAATTTCAAGAATGATGCAAAAGCAAGTATGCAACATGCCCACACTGCATAAATTATGCATATTTATTTATAACAGATATTTAGTATTCATCAGGAGCACACTTACATGACAGGACACTTACCTGATGCAACTTCATGAACACAAAGATTAAAAAAATAAATAAGAGACTGTGGAATTTAGCAATGAGAAGGCTAATGGATAGCACAGTACCCAGATTCCAAACCAGCCTAAACATTTCTCTTCTTCATTAACATATTTGTTTTGCAACTTATCAGAGAAATAAAACCATCAACAGTTTTCCTGACATTTATAAGTGGTAGATCCTATTTAGGGACGGAAATTTCGCATGTGACTATCCAAAATCTTATCCTTGATACTTTATATTGAAAGAAATTCCAAAGTCAAATAGTGGGAATTGAGACCATCAAACTTGTATTTGATACTATTTAATAAAATGCAAGTTCTTCAGCATTTCTTGCTTCAACTGGGCAAATATATAGTTCTAATTAGAGATCAAGCTCTTTTGTTCTATTTTTCAGGAAGTTTTTTGATTAAAAAAGTATCCCTAGGAAACTTCAATTAGTTGGTGAGAACTGCATAAATGGCCACTTAAACTAGATAGACTGTTTCATTTGATTTAATCAATGTCTTATTATTTTATTAACATGCCTAATGAAACTTACTAGTTTGACATGATTTGAGAGATATTATATCTGTTTATTAGAATATATATATTAAAAATTATTCTTACCAAAATGACTTGGAAAAGAACTGGAAAAAGATGGATTTCTTCCACGAGGCTGTAAAAACATATTTTAAGATTTATTTAAAAACAGAGGAATAGAATTCTTATTTAAGACACTAAACTCACAACAGGAACAGAGTAGTAGAATAGTTGTTTCCAAAATCCATGACCCAGAACCTTAGCTTTAGACTAGCTCTCAACAAAAATGAGCTCCACTTCAGATATTAAATAGAAACAGCAATGTCAGGCTGTTTTGGAAATTACTTCCAGGTCTGCTTCACTGATGCGATTCAAGTGAGTGGAACAGTAATTAAGTTAATATTTTTTAATGGCAGAAATTAATAAAAATTCACAAGTATAGCACTATACATACTATGAAACAGAGTGCACCATTAACTAACTTAATTAATAGACTCAGCACACATAATAGAATTATAAACATGCTGTGTTTTTCTAAAGCATGCTATTTTTACTAGCTTCTTGGGTTTAACATATTTCTATATGATACTTTTGTCAGCCAATTCTCTTGACAATGCTGAGCAGTGGTGGCCCTACAGAAGTTAGCTATATTCTCCTGCATTTCAAAATCAGATACAAACCAGCATGTATATGCTTATAAGAAAGAAGAATATTCTCAAAAATCAGTAATACTTTACATTAATGTAGTATTTTCTACTCTTAGAACACAAACCACTTTATATTTATTAGTAAAGCATGTGTCTCTCACACGCTATGACATATGAATCATATGATTACATATGCTTAACTGTATTATATTGTCTAGTTTGAAGAATGATTGTCCCCCCTCTTATACACTATACTAGATGCCTATTCACCAAGCATGACAGAGAACATCAAATTGTATGTTTTGAAAATTTTCTCTTGTGTCACTATAACATTACTGAAGTGATTCATAAGCAACTGGTAGGTTTAGCCTTGTGATACACTTAAGACTGTATTATGAGTCGTGTAATAAACACAGAACTCAAACACAGAGAGCATGTCTGGGATCTCTCCATACAGCAAACTACAAAATTGTCTTTCAAGAAGTATGTCAGTTAAAAACACAAAGTTATATTATATTGTTCTCTGTGAAGAAACATGAGTTATATTTGACTAAGATGAGCATCGAATTTCATGTTTGAAGCTTTACTATGTAAAACTCTATACCAGCTTCTGGTACAACAGTAATCAGATTAATTCTGTTTGGTAAACTATTTGTTAAAAAGAACTTATATATTCCTAAAATCACATAGTTCAATTTCAGAGTTTTTATTCATGTCCAGTAAGAAAAGAGAAGGTATTATTTTTCTGGATAGGGTAAGCTAAAGTACTATACTGTGAATTGAAGCGGCTAGAAGAAATTTAACATTCTCCTCTATGAACTTCATGAAAAAATTCATAGGGAGCTAGAACAAACATCCAAGGCTCATAAAAGAATAAGATGCTTCATTGAGATTAATGTCACCTATCAAGCTCTGGTTGTTCACATTTGCTGAAATCACATCATGTAAAGGAAATACAATAAGGAATAAAAGCCACACTAAGAGAACAACCATATCTACAAAGAACTAAGAATTACTTCTGAGTAATGCAGATGTGTGCATTATGTATGAATAACGGTTTACTATTTCTTACTGTTTTCCTAATTCTCCGATCCTTGCCTTAACCTAAATGTAATAATGATTCTATGATATAGAATCTATATGAGTTTGGGGAGGGAGCAGGGGCTTAGTATAGGAAGATCTGTTGCACTGTACACCACTGGCACGTGGACCTAGAGATGAGTAAAACACATCCACTGAATTGTTCAAAACATAATAAACCAGTATCATTTTATGCACTTATATATACACATTTAACAAAATTAAGTAATAGCCTTGTTCAAACAAATGTGTTTACTTTTTCTTGCATACAGAAATGTTACACCCAGCAGAGAGAAAAGAGTTTATGTAAGGAAAGAAACTCATTATTTCTAAGCTTAGAAGCTTGAATTTAAGGACAATTTCTCTTCTTATTAAGTTGAAGTGAAAAAAAATCCATATGCAGTGGAAAAAAACAGTTCCTTCCATAAGTCAGGAGAACATGAAAGCTGTTCTCCTCTGGGCAATCTAATAACTCTTTAATAGACAGTTATGGCACCTTGGACACAGCCAGTTCATAAGAGAGTCCCAGCATTGCAGATAGGAAGACTTATTATATTTGAGGTTCATTACCAGAGCCAAATCTATGAGTTAAATGAAAAGCTTAGGCCATGCCTGTAAAACAGAATTTTGCTGATGTGGGTATAACAATACTAAACATTAAAAAGGCCATTTAAACACCACAGACTCCCCAAAAGAGCAACAACTGTAACAGTATTTGTACTGACAAAATTAAGTTTTCCCAGCACAAACCTACTTGTGCTTAGGGCTTATTGGAATTACTTACCCCAGCAAAAGCTGCTCTCTTTGCTACATAAGCAGCATTTAAACTGTGAACACATTAGCAGTAAAACACAATCAAATACCAAGAATAGCTAAGCGATCCTATTTTAGGAAAAACCTAGAAAAATGCTTTTGTGGTAAAGGGTAAATTATGAAACAATTGTTTCCAAAAACTGCAAGCAGTCCCGATTGTTACAGCATTACAAAGTCAGCTCTACTTTCTGCTGAGATAAGCTAAAACAAAACTAGAGCTAATATGGCTGTTCTTAAAGGTCACCTGCAAACCTTTATGACTGAAGCAAAAAATAGCTGCAGCCTCTAAAGAAAATTATGCACGTAACTTAACTAAAGCATAAAGTCACCTCAAACATTGTATTAAGACAAAGCTTAAAGCTGATTTATCCCAACTTTGCATATATGTGCTGAAGAGAGTGACATTATCACACCCTTCATTGCTATCTTACATAGTTTTACAAAGGAAATGTCCTAAAGCCAGTGAAAAAGGAGTTTAGCTATGGAATTTATTTCATAGAATGTTCATATTTTAAACTAAAAGTAGTTTGGTTCTTTATAGACTTTTAGAAAATTTATATTTAATTAGGTCCTACTCTGTTTGGAAAAGAAACAGAATCATCACAATACACATAAGCAAATCATAATACTAAATAACAATACTAAATATGTTCTCATTTAAATCTATGTATAAATAAACAACTGGCTCAAAATAACTGGTCATCTGATTTTATAAGACTTGCTATCAGTACAATCTGAATTTTTAATATACTAACAATTTTCAGAATGAGATTACACCTCCAATTTTGCTTTCCAACAATTTGCAAGATCTGCTTTTCTAAGATATCCTAAATTACCTTTTTTCAAAACACAGACCTACTGCAGGACACTGAACACCAAAGGCTTTTTGTTACAGGTGTAATTCCTTAAAAATTTAAAAGACAGAAAATGCGATGTTATCAGATATAAGCTTTAGAGAAAAGTTGGGTGAGGGTGTGTGAAAAATGGGTTATTACAGACATTGTAAGCTGAACAAATGAGTAGAAATTATTCTGAAGAACAGAACTGGTGGACATGGACAAAGCAAGAACCGAGACATTCATTGTAAAGGGATAAATGTCAAATCCACAACAAATTTTTGAAGAATTCGGTCAGTTGGTTGATATAGTATGCTTGAGCTTTCAGAATGTATAAGGACACCTGATAAAGGGTCTTAAAAAATAGCCATGACTGTTCAGATTGCAAAGGCACAGCTAAAGGAGACAATATTCTAGAAATTTATGAAGTAGTGTGCTTCTTTTCCACCATAAGATGATGGCATCAAATTAAGTGGCAAATGCCAGATCAGACAAAGAAAATACCTGAGGATGATAAAATTTCATATGCATGTGATTATGCTATAGATTAACTATTATTGTTATTTGTCGAATATATCTTTCAAACGACATAATTGAAATGAAAATTACTCCTCAGTAGCTACTACCTACAGAATACCACAAATTCTTGTATGGCTTCTGAAAAACAAACAACTCACAGGGGTCTGAGAAAGCCTCCTGAAAGTATTCCCACTCACCTGACTCCTTCCTATAGTCTTCTCTGGGCACCTACTATTGAACATAAGAGAATGGACTTTTCAGTGGTTCAGATTTGCTTTGTGCTGAACAGAGGATTCATGGCAGAACTGAATTCACTCAAGTCTGCAGCTCCAACTGTAGCACCCAACCAGCTGACTTTTCCTCATTATCTGCTTATTTTTTATTTGCTACTTATATTACCAAAGGCAAAAATTCACTATTGAAAGTAAAAATAACCAAGAATGAATGGCATTTTCTCCTTCTTTTTAATGCTTTACATTAAAAGAGTAAATATATGAACCTTCCAATACGACGTTTTTCAAAAATTCACTTAACAGTAACATCAAATATTAGCTTCACATTTTTACAACTTAGACATTCAGCAATTGATCAGCAACACGAAAGAGAAGACAAAATTACAGGTTTAAGGTTAATAGCTAATTTCTTTACTAAAGGGGAGCTTTTATAAAATGTAACTCTAAGGAGTTGTGTTTTACATTAAAAACGGTGATTAGTATTACAGTCTGTACATGACTAGACTATGAGAACTCACTTGCAATAATGAACTCTGACCACTGCCTTTGATATGAATTACAATGATGTGCGACCTGACAACAGTGTTATTAGCTGACACACAACTTAACATTTCAAGAGTCTGTTTCTGGGCAAGTCTTCCTGCCTGGTGTTATTCGATAAAGCAGTATATATGCAAATATTACACCAAAAAATAGGAAGAGCAAAGTTCATATGAATTCTTTGCTCTTTTATATTAGCATTACTGCCCTAATAAGAAAATGAGGGTTTTTACAACTCAATTTTCATAGATGTGAACTAGCATAATCAAAATCAGGTTGTAAATGTATATAAACATTCCCTAAAGTCCTAATAAAACAGTTTCGTCCACTGTCAATCTCTCAATCCATCTGCATTGTAATTTTCTCACTAATATTGTACACCTCTAACATGTAATTCTACTGCTCAGTTTGGTCGGACTAGGCCCTAAGGCTTACCTGTTATCAGAACTATTCCATTTTATTTTATTCATAGTCATAAAAAACCAAGAAAACATATAAAAACAGAAAAGTAATTTAGAAACAAATAGATCTACTTTGTAAAGTGAGTATTTCAACCTTCAACTAGGAAATTAAAATGACTAATGGGAAGAACAAAGTGTTCTTAAAGCAATTAATATAAACCCACATTAATCAATTCACAAGGAAAGCACTGAAGTGCTAGTCCTCTAGTATAATGGCAAAGAAACCAACAGCAGGTTCAAAGACAAACAGTGTGCAAAGCTAACAAGTGCTTGTGAAATGAATCACAATTCTACCAACACAAAACAATTAAAAGCACCAAATCAACTCCAAAGAGTTTGGTTTGGTTTAGGGTTTGTTTCGGGGTTTTTTTACTGTTTGTTTTTTGAAACTGGGGGCAAGGATATTAGATAGACCGTTTCAGAAATTGCCTTTAATGTTCTTTAACAGATAATGCATGGGTACAAACAGTAGCATAAATAAAGTTTGAAAATTGGACCATTCTTGGATGACTCCAAAGACACTATGATAAAAAGTAACTATAATTAGTCAAGACAATCTGCTGTTATGTACAAGGGTGATCCATCTATCATCTTCACAGGTACTAGACCTGTAGCACTTAGATGCAGAAAATTTTTTTTGTTGTTGTTGCTCTTCAGCACCTTCCTGTTTTGTTTTGTTTTGTTACACTTTTTCCCCTTTTTTAGAGCAGTGCCTAATGTTTGTCTGGGAAATTTATTTTAAGGACCGGAGGTGGGGAAGGTTCCTTAATTTGGCCCCCTGTCCTTCACCATAAATCTAAGAAGGCTCACACTATTAGTTCTTAGATAAGTGTTTCTCCCTCAGGAAATTACCTTAATAACAGAATACTGGAATGTGTACCACTCTCGTGCTTATTATCTGATGCAATATTTCATATTCCCCTCACCTCTATTCTATTATTTTTACTGTCTCCCTTCCCTGCAACCAAAAATGTCCATTTTAGCATCCCATAAAAATCAGATTCCATAGGTTAGAAGGTTTAGTTTTCAGCTATATTAATGTCATCAAATGGTATGAGTTTCTAACTAGAGGTAAGCCAAGTAGTTGCATAAAAGAGCATGCAGCTACATTTTAGAAGGTTATCTGTAAGGCCAAAGGCAAGTTAAAAATCATGATCCAGTAAAAGTTTCCTGCAGTAGCATAGTACAGAATACTTTTCAATAGTCAAATCACATAAGAACAGCTAATTGGTATACCATATTAAGAGAAACTAAGAAATCTATATCAACTCCTCCTCACTACTAGAAAAAAATAGCAATCTGATCATTATAGACCACAGGAAAACAGCATAGAAGACTCAAAGCAGGAACAAAAAAAATTCCAACCCTTAATAGACTATGTCTGACATCTTATCCACCCATATAACATTAAGTTGACAAACACACAAGAGGACAAAGTATTTTATGATACTGCTCTTTTTGAAAACAGACTATGCATAGTTAAATCAGATCTCTCCCTGCTGCAGACATTTGCTTCCACTGTGAGTTCTATTCCTTGAAGAACTCTTCACAGAAGTACAATCCACCAAGAGCAATTAACACAGGAGACAACTTTTTTTTTTAAACAAACTCTAAGTGAGGTTGTATCAGACAGCAATTGTTGCATGATGTAAAAACTGGTACAAAAAGGGAAACACCTGACTCAATTATACTCTAACGTTGTATCAGACAGCAATTGTTGCATGATGTAAAAACAGGTACAAAAAGGGAAACACCTGACTAAATTATACTCTAACCCATTAAGGTCAAAACATGCAGGAAAACACTCATCCTTTTCTAAAACTGAATTATCTTCCTGTGGATACTCATATGGTCAGATGTCCAAACACTTAAAGTATTCACAGAAACACATTAAAGTTGGGGTTTTTTACAGCTACCATCTTACACAAGAGAATTTATGTTTGTGAGAGATCTAATTCTGCAGCATACTAATGGGATATCACTAGAGTTTTCCACTGCTAAATTGAAAAGTAATAGAGAGGAAGGGCTCCCATAATAGAGAATGCTAAAAGTTACCTCCACAGTTGAGGAATGGCAGAGATTACAAAGTATTTTTTGTATTCTTACAAAATGCTAATTAAAGGCATTCAAAATACGTATTGTAATTAGTATATTTTATCATAAGCTTAAAAATATAAAAATAATATAAACCCCATCAAAAATACAACGGTATTCAAATATCTGTGTCTATGCCATATATAACAAACAACCTGTAATAGGAAACAGAAGTGTCCAAAAATGGTGAAAATAAGATGAAATGTCTCTCCTCTGATATTACAAGTTAGCTAATTTACAATATCAGCTATGAAAAAAAATGCAACAAAAAAATGGAGTGCATCTGTCCCCTTTCAAGTGCTAAAATAAGAACTGCTCAAATGTTGCACGTCTCTATCAGAAAGCACACTGGTAAAGTCTGAGTTGATGGGAAGAAGAATGATAAGCATGAGTTACAAGAAAATTGGTGGAATTAAAAAAGAGAGAGCAAGAAAGAGAGAATGTGTTAGGTAAACATGTCTGAGAACAAGCTATCATATGGAACAAACAAAATAAATGCACAGTAGTCTTCATCCTCCTCCCAATTCAGTCTTTATTTCAAAATAAGGTTAATTATAGATATTTTTGAAAGGCAAGGAAACAGTAAGGTAAATACTAATTTAACATTTCGTCATTTTATAATTGTTTTGTTACCACCACTTTTATTCATTTAAAGTTACAGCAGAAAGCATCCATCCTTGAAAGCCAGGTATTGATAAAATGTAAGCTTGGAGAAGCTACAGAGACTCAGTGCAGTGACTTACATCACTCTTATCAGTACTAAAATGCAGTAGAGTTTTTCCACAAAGAACAAATTCAATCCCACAGGATTTGTGTCCAGTGTTATTTATTTACTTCCTATCACAATCTTTTCAGATATTTTCCATCTGTCTAATGAAAGGGGCGAAAGAGAACATATGCCTTTAGTAATTCTGAGCTCCATGAGAACTGATTAATTAGCCATCAAACCAAAACAGAACCAATTTTGATATAGTGTTCCCTATAGCATGTACCTAGTTTCCACTCTGTTCACTAGCATTTTGTATGAATATGAATATATTATTCACCTCTGTCATGTAGCATTGGCTACTTCCATCAAAAGTTTTTGGGAAGCCAAAGAATCAGGAAGAAGACAGACCAAAGGATAACCTGCACTCCGTCAGAAACGTAGCCAAACAAATGATTTAGTGAAAGTAAAAAAGAGGACCAGTAAGACATGCGAGAAACAGAACAATTACAGATGGCTAATCTGGAATCTGGTAGCCGGTCCTTAAATGACAGAACTAGATATACTGGTATTTAAGATTATTAATAGTTTGTTGAATGTCCAGAGCTGCTCTTTAATAATATTAAGAAAAGAACTCCTGTCTGCTGCCAGATGACCATGAGGATCAGTGTGCATCCACAATCTACCTACGCTGAGCATAATGGCAAATACATATGATTCCTCAAATAAAAAGAATTCAGCAGGGAGAGGAAATGTGCTGCTAATATAATCAGCACTCAAGATACAGAAATATTCTTTATAACTCTTAAAGTATTAGAATATCTGTGGGTTAGTTCTAAAAGGGGATAACTGTTTTATTTGTTTCTATAATACATAAAATCCTGCAGTAGCATAAACAGCTTTTTTACAATAAAAACTATTCTATACAATCCAAAATATTTTAAATCTCTCTATTTCCTAGTTCATTTGTAGTCTACTTAGTATATTAAAGCACCATTCCCAGTAGCATCATAAAAGATTAAAAGAGGATGTTCCATCTTCTGTAACAAAAAGTTGGAAAAGAAATTAAATTTCCTTCCTTATGTTTTTTTTATCTTGTGCTCATTTAAATCAATCAAAGCAAGACAGTACCATGTTCAGCAAACTCTTGGCTGTAACACATCAGACACCACAAACAGAGAAGAGTGACTGCAAGAACAACCAGATTTTCTAGGCATATCCAGCAAGACAGAGAGATGCTTCCTAATTACTATTTAAGTTCCATGCCACTTTTTTTTTTCCCCATCACACTGTAAACTTTGGAACAAGAAGAAAAGATATTAAGATACTTTTAAACATACTGAGGGTACCTACACCAATTGTTAAAATCCATATTTAGGAACTTTGAAAAGGTAGCTATATTTGCAGAAAAACTGACCAGCTTACAAGTTAATTGACTCTTGTAAACCTTTAACAAATACATCCCCTTTGTCCTAGCTACAAATATGTTTAGCTAGACAAAAATTTTGATAATGCTTTGGGGTTTTCTTTCTTTTAGATTTTAATGATAATTTTAATGTTAAAATTCTTATGATTTTGTCTCTAGTGTTTTATTGGCTAAATCCATGTTAAAATAACCAGGATCATATAAAATTGACATAAAAGACATAAGATAGTGTTCTATAACAAAAACTCTCTGGGAATTTTCTAAATCAAAGTGGTAGTCGAAGTAGTATGATCATGAGATCTGTTATTGCTACTTCCTAACCGGAAAAAAGAAATTGAAACAGAAAGAACCCAGAGCAACAGAGAATGTGTAGTTGTATCACCTCACAGAAGCAGGGCTGTGCTCAGTCAGGGCCACCAACAGTTTCAGAGCATACAGTGGTACTGGGTCCGGAGCCATCAGAATGTGCTCATACCTGAAAGGCAAGGTGGAGAAGAGGCAGAAACTGTGAGAAAAAAAAAAAGGTCAAGAGATTCTTGTCAAAAAAGTTGATACTAAAAATGTGTCATTTCCCATTTCCAAACTTCATAATAACCACAATGGAAATACAATGCTGTTTGGAATTGTACAAAGCAACAATACTTGTATTTTAAAGCCAGCATCAGATTAACTTTGAAAGAAGCATTAATAAAATTTTTAGAGAGAGATACATAATTATAAAATATGTAACAGTATATACGCTTGTGTGTGTATATATGCATATATATATGCAGGTTGCATATATAACACATACATGTTTTATAACTAAGAATTATATTAAAATATATTTATAAAACATTCATCTCGTCTACATGCGTATAACTTATTTATTGATCTATAGTAAATACTTTAATCTTTCAGAGACAAGTAGAAAATGAGCATCAAAATATTATGAAGAAGATTTATTGGGTGCTTAGGAAGACCATCAACCAACTTTTTTATGATTAAGCTCTGTATTTTGCCTACATGGTGACGTTCTCAAAACTGAAAAAAACCTCACATTGAGCTTTATATTTTATCTCAAATTTCAAAAAATATTGCTTTCACTACAGCATATTTACATTCTCCAAATAATATGAAACAGAAGAATATTAACATACTCCAAAACAATGTTTATTGAGAGGTATGGCAGTGAAAATAAAACCACAAGAAAAACCTCTTCAAAACATTTACAAATGGTGATCTTGATAAGGGAAAATAGGCTGCTGAAAAGCAAAATGGACCTTGTTGCTACTAACATTCCAGTGATGTCCTCTCAACAAACAGGGCTAATTTTATTGTATTTAAGTCAAAATGTATCTGGATGGCAATAGGATATAATGACGGAAGTAAGAAAGATGTAAGCATAGAAAACCACAGACTCAGCTATGTCAAAACACAGTGTTTCATTACAAATAGTGCTACTCTAAACATGTGGAAGTAATAGAATAGGAAGTATAAATCTCATTTGTAAAAGAAAAACCATGAAGAATTAATCAAGTACAAATGAAAGGATGATTTGTAGGAAAATGTGGTAGGTTATATGTAAAAAAAATGCTTCCACAAAAAGAAAAAAACTGTAGTGTTCTGATGAGGGGAGGGAGTGGAGTAATGCAATTCACTGAGAATTTTACTTCACATCTTCAGATCCCTAGTGCTGCCAGAACTGAGGAATCTGGATCACTTCCCACCACCTGCATGCTGACATACTCTACTATGTGCTAGCTCTTCCCCTCCCTGCAGGCACACCACACCTCAGCACTCTGATTTATACTGGAAGGAAGTCTAGAAGGAGATGAGGTGCTTTCCAGCCAAGTCTCCGATCTGGTCTGTGACAAGGAGGGAGAAGCACACCAGCCGTGCAGTCTTGATGTAACCTGTGGGAGTTCCTTCACAGGCGCTAACATTCCTACATAGCCTATGGGCAATGTGTCATGGCTACTACACACTAACTTGAAGGTACTACTGTAGAGTTGCAAACCACATCTCAGTATCTACTGAACTAGTGGCTACAAGTCGGTGTTGACTTCATGTCTTTAGTGATTAAAATCTCCCTTTTAGAAATAACAGATTCCAGTTCCTCAAAGAAAATGATTTCTCACTGGTGATTAAAAAGTCCCTTCCTTCATAAAAGAAGAAAATACTCTAATGCATTAGTAGACACTGATCCCAAAAGCCCTACGTGTGAGCAATACATATTCCTATGAAACATAATGGTACTATTTGCAATTTTTTTTGCAGAGTCCATGACTAAATCTTCCAAGGCAAGCAAAGATGCTATCAGGTGACTCAGACACAGATTACTAGAGTCAATGTCTTGGTAATTAATATAAACATATTGCCTAACTAAAGGCCAATAGGAGCTTTGAATATATGAATCTTCTCTGAAGGGCAAATACTCTGTGCTTGAGATACTTTATTAAATGAATGAGTCATCAAATGATTGCACTGCCACTTCAAAACACAAAACAGTTTAGTAACAGTAGAGGACATTTTATAAGGGTTCTATAAACTCCAGGTACTACACTGTAAACTCCAGGTACTACACTGTAGGGAGTTAACTTTGTCAATCTTTTCTATAAACAATTATGACAAAAGGACCTAAAGATTTAGCGATATGGACGCCTCTAAGATCTTAAAAAAGAGTGAACATCATGTCAAGTCTCTTGGACTTCATACTTGGAGAAATGGTTTAGCAGTCTACTAAGAACAAGCTACATAATCTTTCAAATGAAATAAAATTTATTTACACATTCCTCTATTTTGCTGGTTCTGGCTCAATTTTCAAATAATATATAACTAGAAATATCAAGAATTAAAATTAAATAGAACTGAATATAAAGCATTTGCCATGTATTCATTGTCTATAGCTGCAAGTTTCATTTCGGTTATGAAACGCTCAGGGGAATGACCTTTCAGTACAGTAAACTGAAATTTTATGAAACTATTTCATTCTATTCAATTAAAACCCAGTGAGGAGGCCAACTTTCTAATCTATAAATGCAGAAATATTTAATGGAAATACCATTTTATTGATGATGCAGAAGATGAGAACAAAGTGGTAATCACTGCACTCCTGCATATATCTCAAAATGAAGTCCATTTATATTTCATGCATAGTGAGCCACATTCTATTTCAAGGGTCAGTTTAACATTTAAACAAATTAATTTGAGGAAGATATTTATAGGAATGAAATATATACACAAATGTATATGATTATAATCTTTAGTAAAAAAATCACATATTAAACCCAGATGTCCCTCCCTTCCATACTCAACAGCTCTCAGTTCTCAGTGGGCTCAAAAGGGATTGAAATATCCACTTTCCCACACAGACTGCCCGTGAACAAACAGCCATCACATACCTCCCCTTTTTTGACTGTCTTCCAGCTGAGTCCCACTGTGTCCCATCCTTTACCCAGCAACAGAAAGACTAAACATCAGCAAACACCTCTTCAGCCTCCAAATGTTCTCAGTTTTCAAGTAACCCATACTTCTTGGGATAGAGCTTTACATTATCTTTACAAGTAGGTTACACTGAATCTTAAAGCCTGGAACCAAGATTCTGAACTGCTGCAAGACCCTTTCTCATACTTTCATACAACATAACACATGCGAAGATAGCACAGGTTCAGTCCCCAACATAAAATCATATTTACTTTCAGACCAAAAAGCCCTGTCACCCAGTTGAGCTAATAAGTTCCAAGACAGTATTATACTGGTTGTTTTCCTTCTAGTTGTAATTAACATGACACACCCTTCCAAACACACATCCTCCCGGTCAATGAGAAACATCATGTAAGATCGACATGTTTCAAGGACAAGATGGACAAGGGCAAGTTTCAGAGCAAGGAAACTGTCTCCTTTGACTCTAGGTCTCTTCCCCTATCTGAAGAAAATTACCTGACAGCTTTTAATAATGCATATACTCTATTTTAAAAGTAATGTTTCCAGCTGCCATTTTAATTTGTACTGATACATTCTATATTTCCCAGAGGAAAAAAATGTGAAGAAAGGTGTGAAAGTTTCTCTCTAGAACTCTTAAGATGTCCTTCCAACTCTCTGTCATAGAGAGAAGTTTACATGTCTTGCATGGATAAAACTTTGGTCCTCAAACTGTAAGAGCACTATTCAATTAGCAAGAAACAAGTCTCATATTTGGAGAAGGCACTGTGTTTCTAATCATAATCCAGCATCCATTCCTCCACCCTTCTTCCATCTATTGAATGTAGGGGTGGGGAACAATTTTCTGACTTAGGGCAGCTAAGTATTCATCACTTTTGAGAACCACACATGAAAATACACTGTACTATTATTAGAATAATGTAAAATATGAATGATGACTACTGTACTTGTTTTATGTTTGTGCTTTCTTTCCCTCTACACACAGATGTTACCAGGTCACAGTCAGCATAACACAGAAAGCTGTCTCTGTGCTCACCTGCAAGTCAGCATGAAATGAGAGGCCTCATTTGACCATAGCCCTTATAAATGAATTTTCAGGCCACATCTGGGTGAACCACAAAGGATTAATACCTGATGTACTACTCCTTTTCAAAAAGTTATTTGTTGTTCCATATGATATCAGAACATCTTACATGAAAGCACAATATCCAAAACAGACAAAAAGATGTTGTAGTTAGACTGTTCTAACTTTATTAGCAGAACAAAGAGTAGTATTTAAATCACAGCCCAAAAGCTAGGGGGAATCTTGCTTTGCTTCAAGAGCAGCCAGAGGCACAGTATCAGAAATGAGTGTCACACAGAAGTTGTGTTTGTGTTGTACATGTCAAAATCCTAAATAAACCTAGGCGGACATGTTGGGCAGAGAACTCTGGCAGCAGTTAACTGCGATTCCTCTTTTTGCTTTGCCATTTAAACATAAAAAGGGTAGTTAAAACAAATACACTGTCAAAATGGATTGCGTATCAAGTTATTCCCCATTACAGGAGCAATATTATACTTACTGAGGCAGCAATAAATCTCTAATGAGAGACAGAAGCTTGCTGTTTGAGTCAAGGCTCTCCCCTTTCTCCTCATCCATGACCCCGTGGCTTAAAAGCAGTGATGTGGTTTCTGAGAGCAACCGCAAGCTGAAGAGTCTCCATTCCACTTGAAAATAAAGATGCCAAGAATGTGACCACACTGAAGCATAATTACAACAAAATGTGGAATTCATGGAAACTGTAGCTGATGTGCCCGTATACTTACCATTCTGACTGTGGACCAAAGAAACCAGTGGTGGGAGGATACGGTCTTCAACCTAAAACAGAGAATCAAAAAGATCTGGCTTAGATTATTCACAGATGAAAAAAATAGAACAGAGATACACTATCATCCATGTTTATTCCACTGCTAGAGCCCTTAATCAAAGAGTGAATAATCATGGATATTCATCCATAATCACACTTACAAAGCCACCAAGTTAATTTTTCGCTGGTAAACTGCCATAAGTTAGAGACGTTAATGTACTTTGACATAGAAAACAACAGTAACATTGGTATAACTCTTTGACAGGGAATTTGAATTTAAAATAAAGAATTCAGTGCAGATGTAAGATATTAAGAAAAAAGAGTATTAGAGTATCTTAATCCCAATGCTTTAATCCATAAACTAATCACTGAATAAAGTTCAGATGAAACATCCTTCTAAAACAGAACTGCATAGAATTAAGATACACCAGGAAAGATGTACTACCTCTTAATTAAATATCCCTAAGCTTAATACAGATTCTTGAAAAAATTTTACCTTCCTCCATTCTGGTAATACACAGTTTTTCACTAAAATTTAAACTCACATACATGAGATTTGCACTATGAAAAAAATATAATCCAGTCAACTCTTTATTGTCCATGAGGGTGTTGTTACAAATGCATCATCTGTCACAGGACTAGTCAGCTTTGCTCCACTGGAAATCAACTGATGACAAACTAGTCTATAGTTCAGTTACAAAATAGTGTATTATTCTCTATAAAAGAATTGCTAAGTCTTTGTTAAAATAATGCACACCTTGTCCTTGGATTTATTAATACAAATAAAATTGCTGCATACATTCTCACTACACTGTGGACAGAATTTGGCATAACAAAACTGTGTTATAATCCCCCACGTGTTTTGTTTCAGTAATTAATACTAGAAGATAAAATTTCCCTAGAAGTATGCAGCTACTAATAGGAAACATCTACAGAAGCTGAAAGTATATATGAAAAAGGTCACTAAATGAAGTTAGCCTCTAGCCACCAATAACTACAGTTAGCAACTATTTCATTGCTGGTTGGTGGACTCTGTTAAATTAATCCCTGACATTAAGGGATTCATTTACTCTAGCTTTTTTCACTTATGAAAAAAATTACAAAATGCCTTTGTTCCATACTTTCAATAAAAGAGTTAAAAGGATTCTGCTTGAGATATGAAGTCAAACTACTCTTGCAAGTACAAACAGCAAGACCTATATAGATAACGATATATCTCATAGCTGTAGTGACTTTTGTAACACTTCATGATTTTGAAATATTTCATGGTCTTTTCAGTTAAATAATAAAAGTACACGGCATTCCAACAACTTCATTAATGCAAGTTTCTGAGCTGTTCTACAAATGGCAAAGTATCAGTTATAGCACACCAGTGAGGCAGGAAAAAAAAAAGGTATGCACTTGAGATCTTTCAGTCCAAGAAACCAGTTCAACCTACTGCAGTGCTTCTTAAATGAAGAGGCACACATAAGTGGTAAATTAAAGGCGTGAGACAGAAAAGAGGAAAAGAAGCAGTTCTCAATTATCTGAAGCAATGTAGGGTCCTTGGATATTACGAATCATTCAACAGCAGGAGCATTGACTTAGACTTATACCAATTAAGATACAGCAGTATGATGCAACTTCAATTTCTAAAACTTAAAATCTTCTTTCACTTTAATCTAGTATTAACAGCAGTCTTTCCACATTAGCAAATGCAGTTAATCCAGTCATAAGTCTTTTCTAAGATAAATGTATTTTCAACTGTCATTGTAAAGAAGATTCTTTAGATCTTAAATAACTGTAGTAGATTTTTCTGAACTTTTTCTAACAAAAATCTCAATTTTAGCAAACAAACTGTTTAGAACTGAATTCTCCACGGCAGGTGTTTGCCTCATGTCAGCTAAGTGTGGTGGGGAGATCAACTAAATAAAGCACTAATCCTATGGAAAATTATTTTGTTATGCAAAAGCATATCAGAATGCATATGCTGAAGGGAAAATCATGTATTCAATTTTACATGAACATTAAATCAGGTACTTCCTAACTCCACACAGCCCTAATCTTCTCTCCATGCCATTTGGGTCGCTGTTTTTTCATTAATTTTTCCATTTTACTAGTGTGTACACAAATATGTAAACAAGATATGCAAGTAATTATTGAGATGAAATAAACTGAAGTGTAATAGTACATAAAGTATTTTTTAATAAATTCACCAGTAAACTACAAATGTTTCAGCCATTTGTTTATAGAGAAGCATGGTATTAGTATTTTGGCAAAGACTAATACTCAAACAAGCACTCATTCCTTCTGTTTTTAAATGGCTTCTGATGTTTATATGGAATCAAATCTCCATATATGCATGAAGACAGTCAGATACAGGTTTTTTTGTCTCAGACTTTATCACTAAGATTTCTCAAAAAAAAGGAAATACTCTTCTTTAAGTCTAAACAGACTAGATAGGTTGAATATGATCATATCTGTATTTCATAGGAGTTCCTATCTTTTTAAATAGCCTGATATCCAGTTCATGATCAATACCTAACTGTCCAAAGCCAACACTGTATTCCTCTGTAATGATGGCATTCAAAAGCTGTGCTGTCATCAGTATCCAAAATTGCAATGAAATATTAAAACTTCCATACACACTACATTCACATCTTCAAACTATAATACATAAGTACAGGACCAAACAAAAACATAGCTCAAACCTGATAATCCTGTTTCTGACAACTGGAAAGGATTAGAAAGCAGCAGGGGAAATAGACCAAGCTTAAAGTACAAGTCTAGTTTCTAGTAAAGTAGTTCTTGAGTTAAGAGACTTCCTATGCTGATGTTCTACCTGTATTTTTGCATTTAATTTTTTCTCCCAAATATTTGTCCAATCCTACCTTAAATGTATTTATAATTTTAGCACATGCAATACCTATGGCACTGAATTTTACTCTTCAATTTTGCCTTACGAAAAAACACATCCTTGCTTATTTTAAAGCAGCTAATTTGATACATATTCTTATTTTACAATATGAATAATTATTTCCGAATCAACTTTCCTAGGCTATTTGCAATACAATACTCTGGAATTTTTTATTTCCAAGCTGAAGGTCTTACCGTCTCAGGTCCTCCTTGCATCATCACCCTGTACTTTTTCTTGGTAAGCTTCACTCCCTTTCAGAGTGAATGACCACAACTCCATTCAGTATTTGAGGCTTGAGGGCACCGCGATATTACCATGGTACAGTGATTTTTTTCTACTTTCTTGTCTGATCTTTTACTAGTCCTTTCTAATAATCTAGTTGTCTTTCTGATTACTGCTGAGTAGAAAGCTATCATTTCCACAGAAAAATGATGCTAAAAGATTTCCAGAACAGTTTCAAGTAGTTTAGAGTTTGACACTGTGTAAGCACAGTTGAAAATATTTCCCCCATGTGCATTATTTGACATTTATCAGTATTGAATTGCATGTAATTTTATTTTCCTTTCACTATGTATCCGGAAACCTTCTGCAACTTCTATGTCAGTTTTAATTTTCACTGATGTGAATAATTTAGTGTCATCAGTTAGTTGAGTCACCTCCCTTTTCTGGATTACTTGTAAGTAGCATATGCTGCAACACATCTTTGTAAGGCAACACTCTTAAAATACCTAAATTTTTAAAAACTGATCTCTATTCTCAACTTAGCAAATTTTAATTAGTTAGAAGTTGATCTGTTTGAAGGCAAGAGGGAAGGGCCACTAATGGATTTGAAGTCTTTGGTACGTGACTTTGTCAAAACCTTTTTGGAAATTCAAGTATTCTATCTGAAACCAAAACATCTGTCTCCATAATGTTCACTAATTTCTGCAAGGAAAACTCTACTAATGAGGTATGAGCACCCAGCAAAAGCTGTATGCACTTTTCAACATTATTTTATTATGTACAAACCCCAGATCTTTGGAGTCTGCATGCTACTTTAATCCTCAAAGAAGAAAGAGGGACAAGCTACAGTTTCAGAGCAGTGAAGTACTCATCACCTACTAGGAAGGGCTTGAAAGAGAGAACTGTAATTTCAGTCTTTCTCTACATGTCTCCACGGTTCCAGAGATGTCAGACATGAGTCCTGCACCCTAAATATATGTGCCAGTTTTGTTAGAAACAAACATTGCCTTAGCTTTACTTAACCTCACCAAGCAAAGTCCAGGCTTCACAAGTACCCACTATAAAGCAGTTGTAACACTGCAAGTGGAAGGATCCAACACACTAATCCCTATTTAGTGGGAGGTACCCCCTAAGAATGAAGGTGGAGAACTAAAATTCCATTCACCTGTGCTACACAGCAAGGATGAATTCAACTATTGAATGTATACATTTGAGTGCCGTGCTGTTCTCAAGTGAAAATCAGACCACAGAATTAAGCTTACATATAGAAACTATGCTATTCATTATATGCAGCTATCGTATCCAAATTCACAAATAACTATGTTCATTACTTTCAGAGATTTTTCTAGAGGTATCTTGTTTGTTTTGGTGTGCTTTTGTTTAACTTACAACTTGCCACTCAATAAAGACTTGGACTTGATGATCCTTGTGGGTCCCTTCCAACTCAAAATACTCTGTGATTCTACTGAGAAATATCTTCTCGTCCTTTCTTCAAAGCAGAACATACCAAAGTGAAGACCATCAGCTCCCAAAACTTTTTTCCAGTCACGTGTCAGAGCTACAACATCATCAGCTTGACATTTATTCTCATTAAAATTCCACATAAAAAGGTACTGCTGAAAGTGACTATGGAATTAAGATTGTCCTGCTTTCACGTTTCTTAAAGCATTTGCTGGTGGCACAGCATACACCTTATGTTTTCATATCACCAGTAATCTCTCAGAATGTAATAGAAAAAATAATCTAATGCATGTTAGAATGGATTGGGAAGAAGGATGACACTTGTGTAATTTTTATTTAAAATTCCTCAGAACTTCAGAATCCTCATTGAGGGTTGTTTTTTCTTCTGGGAAGAGACAGCACTGATTGACTGACTCAGTATGTCAATTAGTAGAGAAATGGTTTCATGTCATCTGGATTAGTTTAACGGACAGAAAGCCACATGGGGTGTAAAATTTTCATCTACTTGAAAAGGGAAAGTGGTTGAAAAAATTCTGTACAATATGTTCATATAGTCATATCCTATATTGACAAAACTAAGGTGTCAGTGGTTAGATCAGAACAGCCTGTGGATGAAGAACATCACTGATGCTGAATCAAGAAAAAAGCACTTGCAGAAGTTTCTAACCCTTATGTTGTCATCTTTGGTGAAAGTAATAACTCTCATATTGTCAAACAGTAGATTTCCATGTCATATAGCTTTTCCCTTGACTTCCTATCAAGCAACTCATCATGTCCGGGGTGCTTTTATTTTAGCGTGATTTATAAAATAAGTTTTAAAACCTTGAGGAAGAGAATCACTGCTGACAACTTTTGCCTTAACCAGATAACAACTTTCATGCTTCAGGTAAAAGATCATCTGTGCATTACACAAATCATTTTTGGGAGCTAGTTAGAGTATAGAAAGGACTCCCACAGGAACTGCCTGCCATCGTGAGCCTCATCACTGCTCTAAGTGCTCTGAATTAGCATATGTCTTTTTTTCAGGCAAATAAATATACTTAACATAGAAAAGGAAAATGCAAATGATACAGTCAGTACAGAATTATTCAATTTAATTATATCTAAATATTTATCAAAAATTGGATAAACAATATTATTATAACACAGTATCTGAATTTAATAAATATTTTTCCATTTTAGGCAGGTGGAGGAAACAGGCAATTGGCCTTCTGCCAGTTTGAGAAATTGGGGTTTATATTTCAATCCAGTCTGTAGAGACTCTTCTTGATGACCTTCATCATTATAATCACATACCCGAAAATCTAGTTCTGTCAAAAACTGCACAGTCACACAAACTGTTAGTCTTTATATCTTGTAACAATGCACACAACTGGAAGCAAAATGAAATTACTGCTCACTGCTGGCATTCACTTGACCACTTTCAATTAATTTCTGTTGACTTTATCACACTTTGCCATATCTAATACAGTCACTCCCAACAGAAATGAAGTTCCTCAATAATTGGCTTCAGGTTGATGGTAATCAGAAATTTGGTCACAAAAAAACTAATTTTTTTTCTTGGTTCAAAGTACAAATACAAAGGCAAATCAAACATGAACTAAAATCCAGAACAAGCAATTCTTTGCTTTTCAAAGTGGGAAAGAACCTCAGATGTTGCTCCTAAATTCCTGCTAAATTATACGATTTCCATTGCAGCTAAACTAAAACCAGAACTCACCTGAAAAACTTTCTGTTTCTGCTTGCTCAATATAACCTTACTTTTTATTAAATTAAACATCATTAAAAATGCATTTTATTTCTTGTTAGAGACTTTAAAGCAATGTCATTGTAGAAAAAAATGCATCCTCTCAAGAAGGTTTTGGCCTTTCCTCAGCTCCACTCCCCAAAATCGTCTTTGCAACCAACTTTGTCTAAATGAGCGTCCAATCTTCTGATCTTAGCCTAGGATTCAAATTTCTCTCCAGTAAAAGAGTTTCCTATTGACCACTGTTATACTTAAATATTGATCTGGAAGCTTGAACGTGTCTTGCTTCAACATTTTAAAAACGCACTAAGTTCTACTGGATGCTGGCATTTATATTCATAGATTCCAGTCATGCTCACATAGAAGCAATTAGAAGATATCCCCTGAGTAACAACAATTCCAAAAATAGTCTGTATGCATCATAGAAGATGAAGTATCACTTTCCTCTAAAGTAATGTATGCTGCACATTCAAGTATAATTAGCACACTAGACTTCATAAATAGTATTAAACTAATTACTGTTCACACCACTAGTGGCAGATGTGGTTAGAGATTATTAATTACAATGGACAATTTCATGAATTTAACATAGAAAATGCAAGGCGATTTCTCCACTTTAATTTGAGTCTAAATGATTATTTGCTGAGTATCAGAAGGGCTCTTTTAAATTACGAAGAACTGTTATTTATGAAAATGAGTGAGTGAAGTAATAGATTTTCAAAAAAAAAAAAAGCTGTTCATTGACAAGGATGTAAATCTACACCTATTGTAAATCAGGGAAACTACAAAAGTAGTATGCCTCAGAAGTACTGGACAAGGAGGAAGTCAGGGAGGAAGTTTTATCTCTAGCTATGTAACTGATATGCTCATATGGATTTAAATAAACATCTAAAACTTCCAACACGTGAGATGAAGTAAACTGTTCCCCAGAAATCTAGATACTTCAAAACTCATCTACTGCCAGTCACGGGTTACCTAACAGAGACTGGGATAGTCACTCTCTGGCTTCACTAAAACATTCTACTGAACGTGGGGATTGGTGCAGGGGAAGAAGAGTTGTAAAGAGGAACTATCTCCTTGGTGCTATTCCAGGGAACCACCCCCCAGACCATTAAAACTTAAACAGGTAGGGGAATTTTATTTAATGTGCTGACACGCTATTGTTATCTCAGTAAATGTTGATGGACTCCCACAAAAAACGGTACATATTTCTGTCACTATAAGACACACTGATAACCCACAAAAGTAAAGCAATTATTTTTTAAAATTGAGGTGATTCTAGAATGATACAGATATAACATAGTGAGAGGCAGGCTGACAGGCATGTAGGGAGATATCAGTAGGCATTCATACTTCACCTACACTTAACATTTCATTCCTAGGACATTATTTGCCATATTAGTTTAAAGTAAATTGAACTGTTCAGTTCTGTACTAGTTTTCCTCTGACTATTAATTGGTTAGCTTTTTTGCATAAGGATCATTTTCTTGAATACACTCTTTTGTGAGCATAATGAAAAAAATCCCATTAAACTTATTTAAATTCAAATTTATATTTTGGATTAATTTTACTATTTTCACTTATTAAGACTTTATAATCTAAATATGTGCACATAAATAGAATTCAACTTCTAGAAACACTCAATTTCTAAGATCACCCATTCTTATTTAGCACAATCCCTAAGATCTGTCATTCTTATTTATTTGCTAATGCCTTTCTTCATATAAGTGCTATATTGAGTGTGCCTTTAATCTAATTCCAATACAACACATAAATTTCAATTTGAATCAAACAGTCATCCCAGTAAGTATGGTGGGTTATACTTTTGGTGGGAATTTAGGCACAAAAATGCATTGGTATAGGTTACAATGATTTGTCAAACATTGATTCAAACATTCAGACCTCCTGATTTCCTGACAACTGTTTCATGACATAATTGTTCTGTCTTCAGCTAGCTTAGCTAACAGTAGAATCTTTTAACCAAAAACTTCAAAGAAAACAAACCTTAGTGATGTAAGAAGCTTATAGCATGTGGGTTTGGTAATTGTAATGCAGTTTTTGAGTAAGAAATCTGTTACACTTAAAAAAGCAAGCAAACAGCAACAACAACAAAAAAACCCCAACACCATAACTGAAATTGTTGATCTCATCAGGAAGAATATGATGGAATGGGATCAATCCTGAGGTGGTCTTTCCAAGCTATGTTAAAAGCATAATGACAAATATACTAGTGATATTTTCACTAATATATAGCAATACACTTGCTTTGAAGCTGAAGAAAGACTTACAGAATCAAGAACACTACTTTTAAAGTTTAAGTCCTTCTAATTCTTGCTCTAATTTCCCAACTAAATACAGTAAACTGAGTCTGAATGCCTTGCTGCTTCTTTGAAAATCTCTCTATAAACAATAAGTATTTCTCCTGTCAAATAGAATCACAATACATTTTAAGCCATGTTTTAAACAGTTTCTAGATCTTCAAAATATTCTATTTATAAATGGAATTAGGCCTGCTAGCCCGCAACTATTTAAATTGTTGCCACACTTACAGTCAAGTGATGGATTGTCAACAAGCTGGGATGCTCTGTTACTGCTTCAAAGGTCAAGAAAGTAGTCTTAATCAATTCTTCTGATGCAGCTTGCCCTAATGGTAAAAACCATCATATTTCCTTATAAAATGCAACCGTTATAATACCTGCATATTAAAGTACTGCAGTATCATAGGTTACCTCACCTATTGCTCTGTCCAAGTTTATTTCTCCTGATTCTATCGATCTGATGAACTCCTACAAAAGAAGCAGCATTTTATGTTAAAACACTTAAGGAACAAAAATTAGGAAGCATAATCACTGAACAATTACAACAGGAAATTCTTTAAGGAACTGTGTAAATACAAAATGTTAATGCACCTATAGAAATACTTTCATAATAATTAATTAAGACTGAAAGTACTAATGATCTAGCTGTTCTAATTCTGCAAGTCTGTAATGCTGCTGGACATTTAAATGTGGAGTACAGTAAGGACTATTAATCTGACTCATATCAGGAATTATAACATTTCCAGCTAAATAGACAGTAATGAAATGTCTTTATTTTTAACAGAAAACTGTAATTTCTTAGAAGACTTTGAACTACCCTGGAAATGGCTATGTCAAAATAACTCACTAAAATGACCAAAGACCCCTCAGAAAATGCAATTTTCTGTTATTTGTACCATCTTTTTGATCTCCATGCATACTACACACATTATAGATACAGTTACACACAGAAGAACATGTAAAAAATGCATACAACTTTCTATAAAATAATCACCTAAATTAGTCCCCACTTTAAGGAACAGGGCAAGACAATATTAATAATCTGGGTTAAGTAAATATTTTACAATTAGACTCACTATTATTTTGCTTTCATTTCTATGCATAGCTGTTTATTTCATGGGGATGCAAAAGCCATGTTATTAACATTTGCTAAGGAAGAAAAATTCTCAGCAGAATTTGTAGAACGCTCTTTTTAACTAATACAGCATTTAAGAAAATGGTACTTGTTTTATATTTCACTACCATTTAAAATTTTGTTATTTCATATTAAATTGGCAGAAGTATCTACACGGGTTATCTTTTTTCACAGTATGTAAGAAACATCTGAAGGATTCTTCTCTAATTAAAAATAGAGTTAGAAACTCATTATATATTTCATTGCTTAAAAGCATCTCAGAGGCAGTTATAAAAAACAACTGCTTCTATAAGAAAAAAGTTATCTTCCTGATCATTTGAAAAAAAATTACTAGGTATTATCTAATTAAGTAGTTTTGGAAGAGGGCAAATTATTTTGTTTGCTCATTTTAAGACAGTTTCACACCACCATAGTCTCAAAACTAATTTGTAAAAATCAAAGTAGTTGGTGCAAAATTTGTTCTGGCTACTAATGTTTATTTCCTTAACTTTGTATTAGAAACACAAGAAAGAGATGCACTAATTTAAGAAAAATGCAACTATCTGGGGTTTCTTAAGCAACAGAGAGAAATGGTGTATGTGTGTTTCACTACAGGTGATTCTGACCAGTTGGAGCCTGCCATTAGCTGTGCCTTTGGGGCACAGTGTGTCCTCCATGTATTTATATTCACAGCAGAAAACATGAAAGGACTGTCCTGACTCCCTCTCAATCTCTTTGCTCAACGCTACTGAAAATTACAGTGATGATAGAAGTAACTTCAAAGCAGCAAGGAAAAAAATTCTCCATGAACAACCATTGCAGGAAAATAACTTTTCCTTCCAGATACCAAACATTTTTCTGCTCCTCATAATTTCTTATTGTTAAGAGTAAGATTTTTGAATAGATCAGGAAAAAAAAAAGAACGAAACAAACAAAAACTGAAAGACTGACTTGCTAAAGTCTTAGAGGCCTCGGTTATAGCACAGTACTTTGAAAAAGTACAAGCTGATGATTGAATGTCCCTTTATAGATGTCAGTGGGAATGTTGCTAAACACAAAATTCCAGAGTTGCCTGACAGAATGGATAGTTACTCTCTCAGATGGAATTATATTAGTCATATAATAACACAGTTACACAGTTACATAAAATGGATTAAAATGTGATATTAATTTTTCAGATATACTACTTTCCTCCCCTTTTTCATGCATAAATTAAACTAGTGTATGTAAGGTCCTGAATTGCCTTTTTCAATGGAGACAGAACAAGATGCAGGAAATATTGAGTAATCTGCTGCTCCTTGATTTGAAAGGAAAGCAGTGCTAGTACAACTAGCCTGACTTCCTCAGTCAATACTTCAAACAAGCTGGAGTAACATCAAAAGAAAACTTACATTATAACTGGTCTGTTGTACCTAAATTGTTGACAGAAGAATTTCACCTTCAAGAAGGTTGATTGAAAACTATTAATAAGTTTAATACTTAGTTACAAACGCTTCAAAGGGATAAAGGGTTTTGTAATTCAAGATCTACAGTTTAAATTTTTTTCCACCATTTTAATGATAATTTTTATACAAATATTTTAGTAGAGCTAAATTAAACTCACATTTTCTTGGAATCAAGACTCAAAGGAGAAAGAGAAGGGAATCTGAACATATAACTTGAATCTAATTGTTTGTAGTAAAGCATTTCTTCATGCTTTTGTGGAGGTAAATCCCTAGTTGTCATTTATGAACTCATGCACTTAAAAGTATTTGCTTAACTCTGAAAACACAATTTTAGAATATTCTTTTATCATCATTTAGCAAAAACAACTGTTTTCATATGAAATTACATTAGAACTATACTACTTCATTTCTGCTATACTATCCTATGGCACTGTTAAAAAATTATTTTTTTATAGCTAATGTCATAAATAGGTTACAGATGTAAACATGAGACAAATATCTTAGCTCCATAGCTTTTCATCAACTAAATACAGTGTAAAAGTACTGGCAAGAAGAAAAAAGTGACAAAAGGAAACAAAACCTTAAATATAGATTAGATTATAAAATTTCTCTTTCATTTCTGCTCAAAAAATACTGGCATGAAATTCTAGAGAGAATATTCTATGTAATTTAGAGCTAAACTTTTATACTCTAAAATAAATCACACAAGAAATTCTCAGTTTATCAAATATGTGCAGAGTTTCCCTTTGACCCAAAAAGTATTTTCTGATTATAAATAAAGTTTTGTATATAATCAAAGCTTAAAACATATGTTCAGAAAAAAGTCCTCTCTCCAACTTTGAAATTTAATGTAATTTTATTACATTAAAGCAATTCCCAAAATTTTATGCATAGGTATTGTAAAAAACATTTAACTTAGATGGTTATACTCACAAGTAAGGTGCCATAGTTGAAAAGAAACTCCTTTGTGATTATCTGGGGACGAAATACCTATTTGAATTTAGCCAAAATTGGAAAAAAAACCTGTTAAATGCGTATCTTATGACCAGAAAAAGTAAACCAACTATTTCACATATTAAAGAAAAAAGAGGACAAAATATGTACTTGCTGCTATCACTAGAGATGTTTTACGATGCACAAAAGTCAGATGTCTTTAATGCTGTTTCTTAGCTGGAATACTCATCAACATACCTACACATTAACAACAGTTTTATTTTATTCATTCTGATCACAATCAGTAGAAATTAGATTTTGAGAAAATATAAGTTTGTCCTTTGTTTAACAAATTTTGAGGGGGGGAAACTACCTGGGATGTCACAAGGTGAAGCACGACAGGCATCATAGGAAGGCACATCTTCAGTTGTTTGGCCTGAACCGTTGATGGGTGTTTACGTCCCGAGACATTAGTTAGGGCAGTGAGAATGTCACCTACAGAAAACAACATTTCAGGCTGATTCAACATAAGTGCTTCACTAAACAACAGCAAATGACATATAAAAGATCTCTGTTTCAGTAGCCTCTGTTCACTCCTGTCTTCTCCCTCCTGCTGCAAGTAGTGTTCATGTGACTGTATGATAAATCAGGCTGATCCAGCATTTCTCTTCCCTTGCTCAGTGTTCAACCAGGTCCATTTCCTACTCTGCCTACAGGGACAGGCACGCAAAGGTGACCTCTGGTAAAACCTTGAGGACAGAAATATGAGGTGGGTGGTGAAGTAAAGGTGAAATTACCCCTCTTGGCAGAGTGGACTTAAACTGGCTTTTGGTGACTACATATGCATGGAATTATAGTATCGAAATTTTATGGGTGCAATTCTACTTCCAGTGAAATAAAAAGCAAAATTCTTGTGACTTTCAGCTAACTAAGAACTGAACGAACCATGATTAGTGGGTGACATATGCTGAAGCAGTATGTTTTCCCTGTAGCATAGTTCAACTGGAAAAAAGAAAAAAAACATCCTTTCCCCCTGCTCAAAAAAAATCCCTTCACCAGCCATGCACACACATATTCTCATGCACAAATTTAACCACGATGCAAGTGCGCTAAAGCTATAGGAATTCTCATAAAAGAGGTAGCACCAATTCAATGAGAGAACTTAGTTGCCTCCATGACAAACCTCAGATACAATAATAAGTGAACAAAACTTTAATTGCAATATTGAAAATTATGCTTCAGGTTTCAGAAGAGACATATAAAAACCAAGGAACATTATGCTAAATTTGTATTACATTACCTATTATCTAAGAAAAGCAAGATCTTTTCTGCATGGGGTAAAGAACAGAAGCAGCATGAGAATAGTCAAAGCTCATATGCAAGGAAAGAGAAGGAAAACTCTGTCTCTATAACCTGAAAATATTAAAAGCCAAATGCTGTCTTGAAAGAACACTTACTGTATTTTTCCCTTAAAAGGGAGCTGTTCAAAGCTGTAAATGGGAAATCACAAGACATTAAACAGATAAAGGATGGTATTCAGTATTTTATATGATTTTCAGGCCAGAAAAGGCCCTTCCTTTCAGAATAAGTCAGAGTTTAATCATGTTGAATAATACCAATGCCTTTCTTCTGCTCCCATGGAGTTCAGTTTTCAATATAAGCAGAAATGACAGAGCCTGGAACTAAAGTAGGCTGTAAAAGACTTAAAGTAGGCCTTAAAGACTTGACTCATTCGCTGCTGAAGGAAAAGCGTTGCTTAAAACTCTCCCAATACATAAACCAAAACACTATTTTTTCATCGATACATTTTTGTTTTAAATTACACACAATATCGTAATTCAACAAGAACTCTCTGTGGTTAGTAACAGCTTACTGAACAATCTACTTTCTATATTGTAGGGACTATATAATCATCACATTAGGTAATTCTGCAGTTGATAAATTGATAGATATGGCTACTTTCACTTTTAGCGTGATCTAAGCAATTTATATCTACTTCCTAGAAATAGGTTAAATGTTATAAATGCAAAAATAAAATTAATTGCTTATTTATAACAACTGGAAACTTTTAAAATTATCCACAAGATTAACAATTTATTTCATTTGTTTAAATGTATCTTTAAGGCCAATTTCTACAACTTGTTAATCTATTTGGTTTATAGCTACATCTGGTGGAAGAAGATGGGATCAGTAAGGAGCTTACATAAATGCATATTAAAAAAGCCAGCTAGGATTAATTTTAAATCAACAGTTAAACTGCTTTTAACTGTTCCAGTTTTCAAATCTGATTATTTTTCTTAGGAGCCCATGCCACCTCAAGCAGAACATGTTCTCTCATCATATTCACAGCAATAAAAAGCCTACTGACAAATGTGGATAAATATGGATACATAACTTAAGATTAAGGAAAACAATCAACACACAGATCTAGTTTGGAAAAGAAAGGAAAACAAAGTGTAAAAATTATGCTTGATATCAGTTGTCAACAATGCATTGAAATTGTAAATCAGTAGTAAACACGTCTAAGCAATTGATATATTATGTATTATAATAATAACTATATATTTGATGTATTCAACTTTCAGATTCTGAGGAAATGTCAGGGCCTGCTATATTAGTTGCATAAAGCACATATAAACAGTACGAGGTAAACTGCTGCCTCAAACATTTAGTCTGAGACTTCCATCCTGAAATATAGCCAATATGCAAACCTGATATTTAGTTAGAAAAAAGGGATCAGATGTTTGCAGTAAGGCAAAAATTTGCATTAGCATAGGAAGTAAAGTTTCTTTTAAAATAGCAGCATGACATTTAGTTTGCTAACCTTTGCAGTGCTACCACTTCATTTTCAATATCCTAGCGATAATGTAGAAAAGATGAAAAATACATCAGGTATCATCTCATCAGAAAATAATTTTATGAAAAAAATGCTCTTATGCATGAGCAAATCAGTCTCAGATATCTAAAACAACTGAAGTATCTAGGTTGAAACTTTCCACGAAAATTGCCTGGAGCAAATACTCAACACATAAGTTTCAGGGTAAGTGATTACCACGTACTCAGAGATATGCCCTATTGCATCTCTCTTAGCTCTCTGTTTTGTGGGGTAAATTTGCTCTTAAGTTTTACAATGTTTGGAATACCTTTAGAACACTGATAAAACTTCTGACTGAACTGACAGGGTAAACTTACTATTTCACAAGTACAAAACATTAATATAGGAAATCATGCATTCCAGTACAAAATATGTGATCGTGACACAACTACAAAACTTCAGGAAGCTGATAGAATGCAAACTTTATGTAATCAGACAATTCAGTCTTTCCACCTGTATATGTAAGGAGATATTTGGTTCTTGAGGGAGTAAGCAAAGGTAAGGTTTGTTCAGTTTATCAACTGAATTTACCTAGAATTCCTGGCAGCTCCCGCACAATGTGATAGATGAGAAGATCCAGGCATTTTGACAGATATTCACTGCCACCTTGCTGCTCTTTTCCTGATGTGGTCTTCCTGCTGTCTCTTTCAATATAAATCACGAGCCTGCATTTAAACAAGTGCAAAACATTACCTCTCATAACAAAAAAATAACTCTATCTCAAAAATACTACTGAATCAGACATTTTTAGTATCTGTGGTTACAATCAGGATGATACATTAGTTTTGGCTCTGTATTTTTTTAAATTTTAGACTTTTCTTTTAATATAGATAAACTTTAAGAATACTACAAATTACTCAGTCAAGGAACACAGGGAAGAAACTCTTAAGCTACTTTAAGTAAGCGCAACTCTACTAGTTTAAATTAATATGTGATGCTAATATAAGGAGTGAATCTCTCTGCAAACTTAAAGACTGATTACAATCTACTTTTGAAATACACAACCAACGTGTGCAATGATGCCTTAAGCCCCTAATGGTTTTTTATTTTTCTAATATTGGTAAGCCTTATAAGTTTTATAAGTAGGTTTTAAAAGCAGCAGCCTCCCTCCTTTTGTCCCTTGTCCCTTTCCCTTTCTCTAGCACTCTTGTTTACACATTCCTTAACCCTCTTACCCCATTCTATACTCCCTATATCAATCCTACTCCTGAACACAGCAAAGATGTTTAGTCTCTTGTCAAGGCAAGGCCTAGATTGTTGGCAGAACAGCATATCAGGGCCTAAACCACAGAATACGGTCAAGAATTGGGTAACTATGTACCCTTTGTGCTCTGAGAAAGAGGAAGGTGGGATGAATAGGGGGTCCTGAAATGCACCCCAGACTCTTTTTAAGGGGTTGGACCCGGGGCGGTCCACAGTAAAGGTCACAGGGTGGACACATCTGGGATTGGATGGAGGGTATTATAAAATGTAACATCTCAGGCATGGCCTGCGCGCGTCTTGTAACATCTTAGCCTTGGCAAATAAACCCTTTCTTATCTCACCCCTAATTAACTGCTCTGGAGATTTTTTCAGCACCTAAATTCCACGGTAACAGCAATATGAGCAAAAGACTAATGGCATTCATTTTCAACTCGTAGGAGTTCCAAAAGCAAGACTAATTCAAGTCAATGTAACGAGATCAATCTTTCAATCCAGAAAAATCATACTACATAAATCATACTACAGCCCATTAAAATGTTAGCACTAGTTGGAACAGTCATATTGAAAGAGATAAAAGTCCAAACTAGCCTTACATCCTTTTTCTAGAAATCTGGTGTTCAAGATTTCTAAAGACAAGCTCAGTGCTCACATTCGAACTGGCAAGTGCTGTGTGGCTATGCTGTTCTGCAGAGTGACATTTCTCACAGTGAAATGGTAACTGATTTATTAGACAGTGGCTAACTTACAAGAGATTGCTTTACTAATACATGTGTAACGGAATGCTTCAGGCAAAATTTTACAATGCTTATGTGAATAGACAGAAGGGCCAGACTTCCCTTTAGGGGCATAATATTGACATCTTTGTTTCACATTCGAACTCCCTCCGGGTCCTGTGCAAAGAACTATCAATCACTGGTGAGTGAAATCCATGATCTGGATTTTAAGAATGTACTTCAGTACTATCTTTTTAAATACATTTCTTATAATCAATGTTCTTTTATAGAACTATGAAAATAACTTCTTTCTATACTACCTCAAGTGTACATAACAATACTGCAGGACTCACAAACACAAAATTTTATTCTAGGGAATATGTCTTTCCATCAAAAAGCTGATTTACTCAATGAAATAAAAACTACTTAGGAATGCATTTTGCAGAATTATGTCTCACATGACTGTTATTGAAAACTACAGTCTTACCCTTCCTAACCTGGTCTACAGAGACATAGAGAAGTCAAAAGACCCATTCAGTAACTACTTTTCACCTCTGTAATAGCCCAGAAGCAACACAATTCAGCTGCACTTCTCAGAGACCACAAGGACATCTTTTATTTTTCTTGTAATCTCTGGAAATTGCATTAAATTATAAGGAATTTTGACCTGTCTGTTAGAAAAGAACTACCTAAAAATCTGACGTCGCACTTCAAATAGAATTTTCCTTTCAAAAGCTTTAAATTTTTTAATATAAAAATTTGAATGTTTTAAATTAAAATGGTAAAATCCTTCAAGCCTTTCCAGACAACAAATTAATTTTTACTCAAAAAAATGTTTAACTTCGAAAAGGGCAAAATATCAGAGTTTGTATGGATTTTTTTCTTTAAGAAAGCACTTCCATGATTTAGCAATTATCTGATTCCATATATGAAAATACATTTAGATTTGTTTAAGTTTTACTTGAAATGGGCCAAATAGATTTCAACATGAGTGGTTTTATTGCTTGGGAGGAGGAGGAGGTTCTTTTTTTACAAAAGCATGTTTTATTAGTTAATCACACTTGGGAAGCATAAAAAGTAGGTTCATTTATTCCAAGAGTGTAAAGATAAAAAGTTTACATAAACTCATGAGTTCTCTCCTTTGTGTTGTCCTTCCCATCTCGAAATTGTCTTTCATAGAAGCGTTTTCTAAAAATATGCACAGCTATTTTTTCCCCTGATAGTCCTGTTTAACTAAACATTCTCTCGAGACAATTGTGAAGACAAATATTGTATAGGCTAGAAAGCATTAGGGTCTCCATTTTCCTTCAACAAATTCCTCAGTCTTATGTAGAACAATTCATCAGTTACTTTTATTCCCTGAAGAATCTCAGTATTCTCTCTAATGAGCAAAACTAGGCCAATAGAAAAATGTTTATTCAATTAATTTAATGCATGTTTGTCTTGCACTCAACAACACATAAAAACATGTAGGTATTAGTATAAATAAGTTAAATATGATGAGGAATAAACCACTGTCTATGAAGAAGCAAAGGTTTGATTTTGGAAAAAAATTCTTCAAGTATCTGTACTGCAAGATAGGCCATCAGTAAGCTTTTACACTAAAAAAGGAAAACAACCCAAGTTTTTTTCAAAAGAATGCGAAGAATGAAGCAAAAAGTGGAGAATTTCAGAGTTAACAATCCTGAATGATAGGAAGGAGAATGAGGTCTACTACTTAAGGAGTAAGAACTGTTCACTTAAAAAGATGACCAACATGAAGAAACAAGATTTAGTCACTCAGTAGATTGAGCAGAGATGTGATAAGACATGGCCTAGAAATATAGAGAAGTCACTGTAAAGAGAAAGAAACTGCACTGTTTTCTATGTTTAACCTACAGAATCTAAATTTCAATAAGAAAAGAACTAGAATTTTTGAGAGTTAGGAATAGCACACAATTAGTACAGCTGTCAAAAGAAGGTCATGGAATACCCACCAATTTGCAATAATTGTTAAAAAATATTTCTCAAGCATAATAAACCTTGACCTGGATCAGAAGGTTAGACTCTGTCAAAGGACTCTTTAAGAACTTTTTTCCCTTCTATCATTTTTACATTTGACATTTACCCTCAACATCCTTAAAATCAGCTTTAGATATCAATAACGTTCAGCTACAGCTTTACCAGCATCTCAGCAGGGAGGAAAGAATGCATGCAGCCAACAGCTGACTGAACCTAAAACCGGGAGGTCTCTCACTAGCAGCCTTCTCCCTGCTTCTCCCTTCAGCCCACTAAGTTCACAGAGAATGACGGATCTTCAAGCAACTAAAGAAGGTTGTGCATGCTTTGAGGACACATACAGTCCATTTACCGCATGAATTCAAGGACTAGCTGTTACTTTTATTATTATTATTTATTATTGTTGTTAGTCAACCTTTGGCAACAGAAAAGGATGAAGATATTTAAAGGATATTTAATATAGCTGTATTGCGTATTTTACAGAGATGTAACAGTGGATGGCAGATCGTGCTAATAAGAGGGTCAATCCCCATTTCTTCCTTTGTTTTTTCTTTTTAATTTTATACGAGTTTGCTGAGTTTTTTGATTTTCCCATTTGATTGAGCACCAAGCTTTTCTGTTCTTTTCCTCACTATTTTTCTAGATTAGTCTTAGATGTATAAGGCAATAGGCTCTGCTAGATGTGAGATTGTAGGTTTCCACACAAAGCTTTTCCATTGAGACCATATAAGATTTGAAAATTTAAAAAAATATGGGAGGTGGGGACAGGTAACAGAGAAAGATTTTGTTCAGAAATTATGCTGTTGTGCATAGTCAGGTTTTTGCAGACTGTGAAAGTCTGTCAGAAATACTATCCTATCCTTCCACAAGTTTCCATCTCTGCAGACAGTAAAAAACAACAGGTTTAAATAAATTCTTTTGGGAGGAATTTCAATCTCCAGGTCAGTCTCTTTTCACGGTCGGTCTCTTTTCACCTAGGAAATTCTCTGAAACCATTTAGATAAAAAAAGAACAATTCAGAGAGGCTATTTGGAAATTACTACTAATTCAGAAAAGGGTGAAATTAAAAGTTTCAACAAAACTTCAAATTGTATCCCTCCCCTCAAGAACAGGTAGCTCGGCTTTTGGAAACTAAAGAAAAAAGAAGGAGACTAGAAAACTCAGTGCAATTAGCAAAAGAAATTAATTTGCATAGTGTAAGCAAACTTTATTTGCATAGTGTAAGTGCTACTTCAGCCTAAAAGGTCTCATATCTTCACTAGCTGTATCAAATGTGGAAGAATAAAAGGTATGTAATAGACTACCATGGAACAGACAGAAAAAAGAATAACAGGTGAATTGTACCAATGTTGTGTAACAAAAAATTCACTTGAAAATTGCATTTATTATTACATATAAATGCTTTTATCCACAGATCTCAAATTCTCAAAGTACTTCGGGAAGTCCTAGAGAAATTTTCATTGGTGACATTCATTGTCAAGGTCTTGAATTACATACCTGCACAACAACTAATTTAATAATTTTAAAATATGCTAAGATAGATTTTGAGAATTGGGGGTTACACAGGTAAGTAGTCTTAAAATTGTATTCAAGGAATCAAGACTTGTAACATGGGGTACTTGTCATGTTCCCAGCCCAGAGGCATCTTTATTGCTGGCAATGAAAAGGGGGTTTAGCCAGTGCCTACTTCTGCTGCCTTCTATTTCCTGATACCTGTGCAAAAACTAGAAGAAAAACACAAGGAATAACATCTTGATAACACCAGCACGGATAAAATAAGCTTGCCTTTACACTTCCTCTTCCCCTACTCCCCCTTCCCTTTTGCTTCCTTTCACTCTCCCTCCTCCTTTCCTTGCCCTTCCCTCCCAGTGAGTGGAATAATGACGAGAATGCTATTTTCCTCACATGCCACAGCTTTTTCAGCTTCAAAACCACTTGCAAGGACACATATCACAAAGTTTACCAGTGGGAACAGGATTTTATTGTCTGAATTGTCAGTGAAGAAATTAATGCACAACTTAAGACCATTTCTTCTTGTCCTATGGCTCATTACTTGAAAAAAGAGAGATATCCCCCTTGCTACAATCTCCTTTCAGGTAGTTGCAGAGAGCAGTAAGGTCTCCCCTGAGCCTCCTTTCCTCCAGGCTAAACAACCTCAGTTCCCTCAGCTCCTCCTCATTAGACTTGTGCTCCAGACCCTGCCCCAGCTTTGTTGCCTTCTAGGAAGAACAGCTCTCCAGAGCTTTGGGGTGCTGGCCCTGGGGCAGTCCCCATAATAAGGAGGGGGCTGTTTTCAGCACAGATCCAAAACACAGCCTCCTAGTAGTTATTATGAAGAAAATTAACACCATCCCATTCAAACCCAGCACATTTACTAAACTAAACAAAAGCCTTTTTCAATGCCAAACTGAACAACATTTAACTCAAAGCTGTAGTTATATGCAGTGTTGCCATGACACAGTTATTAGTGTTTTATCATCTGCATCATCCTTTAAGTGATGTACACAGAAAAACTGCCTTATATTGATTATCGTTATCATAAACAGATTTTACCATCTAAGGCAATATAAATCCTGTTATGAACATTAGCTGCAACTGCCAAAGACAAACCATTAAATAGTCGGAGTAGTTGCACATTTTACTACATACTCTTTATATTTATCAAATCAAACACCTTCATAAAGAGAACCTGAGTATATCAAATAGATTATTGCTTACTGTACTAGCAATTTTGAATTGATGAGTCTTAATTTTGAAGTAATTTTTCTGTCACAGAACTGGAGACATTTAACTAAAATACTCCAACAGAAATTTAACAGTGTAAGTCAATGAGTATCCAGTATCTCTACTGGGTTTAATAAGATTCTTCCAGAGTTCATGATATTATGAAAGTAGCTGTCTCCACACTTAATAGGTCCTTTCTTCTCTCTGTAACAAGCTTACTTTCTGGATATAAGATAAAGATTTTAGGTTAGATGATCTATTCCATCAAGAGAGATACTGGTCACTAACAATTATGAAGATAATCAAGAAAACCAGTTTGTCAATTCACTAAACTGCTATAAGGCTTTCCTATTGTTTTACCTAATGTGCTACAGTATGTATTGGTCCCTAATCAGCTATGTCCAGAGCACCACAATAAAACAGCAGAATAAAGCCAAAAATCACACCCCAAATTCACAACACATTGTCTTCAGAAAGGATGCCCATCAGAAAGCATTATAAATAAAGCAAATTGATGATAAAAATTATTACATTTCTTCTCTTTCACATAATATCTTAGGTATAAATAAACAAAGAGTAACTGTCCATGCAGGATTTCTGTCAGACATTTCTCCAAATACACAACAAGAGTACTATGTGCTATATAAGTATATGAATAGCAAGAGTTATTAAAAATGTAACCATTCAAAATGTTACTTACAAATCATTAGAGACGTTTTACACTAACCAGAGCACATAATCTGATAAAACATTTCTGGAAGTAGAAAAAGATACACACAAAAAAGAAACTTGGATTTGGTACTTATTCTCTGTGATTCTAAAAATATTGGGATACCTACAGGTTTGTATGTGAGTGGAGGAATATATAATGATAGAACCCACTAGGTGTCCTCTCACAATGGCTTCAAGTTATAAGTCACTGGTTCCTTCCAATCCAGCCCTCTAGCTCCAACGCACACATCCTAATTCTTCTCAAACATCAATATAAGTTACAAAGGTTTATTTGCTGTAAATGTAGCTAGATTTACAGCTACCCACATCCCTTGTCCTTTTTTATTTTGGTTCCAAACCTGCTTTATTTCAATATTGTAAAAATTACGTTAACACTTCATTTTGCTGTTCTTCACACTGAACAGTTGAAGATATAGATCCCAACTAAAATTTCTTTCATCTTATCTCTCCAATCACCTCAAAACATGGTGACAATTCATATTCTAACACAGTCTAATTTGTTCCTCTCTAATACAGGAATGTTTTTGCACCATCAGAAGACACAAAATTTAAAAAAAACAAGTCCACTGTGAGTAATTTCTTGGAAAAGATTGTAAAAACCAGAAAAATTAAATATTTCATGTAAAAGTCCCAGGAATTTACTGGTCATTATATAAATCACTCCCACAACACATTGAACCAAGAAATATTATTTTACCTTGAATGTGCCTATGCTGAAAAGACTATGTATTATACTAGACTCCAAGATGAGGAAGGTACATGACAGAACCTTTTATTTTGCTTTTCCCACCATAAGAACTCGCTATTGCTGTATTTGTTTTGCCGTACTTAAAGCAAAATCTGGTCCTTGCTAATGTTCACTGAGACCACAAGTTCCTTTAAAAAACAGACTGTTCCTGTAACACAGTGGTTTCCACTTGTTAGTGTCACCTGATGACCCCAGACAAAAGAGAACACTCTTTTCTTTATATTCTCATGAATGAAAGGATTCATATCACACAGGAAACAGTTCACTTCTAAAACACTGCCTCAAAAATACCACACATTTTAAAGTATTTCAGGTACAACTTTAAATATTATATCTCTAATTATCTTCCTTTATCACCTTACCTTGTTTGACAACTGAGTAGCAACATCTCCCTGTTATTGATCAAAACTTGTAGCAGCACCAGAAAGGCTTTTGCTCGAATAAAAGTTGAAGGACTTTCAAGTAATCGAGTAATTGTAGTCACAAAATCCTTGGTGGAAATAAACACAAATACATGAAAGTTACTCACACCGTATTGTAACACTATATACATTTAAAATTTCCTCATTTTCATGTGCATTCTGTGTTAGTAAGGCACTTTTAATGCCTCATGAAAAAAAAATAAAAGCAAATAAATTCTGCCCAAGACAGACTGTCCCACAGCAAAGCAGCTTTGAACATATTCACAAATGCTAGCGTACCAAGTAAACACTATCTAATGTACTATGTCCAAAATGGTATGAGATTAACTACAAAAGATGATAAAACTTACATTTTAAAATGTCTTACCTTAAACATAGGATATTTGAATATATTTATTTCAAAAGAAGACTGAACTATTTTCAGAATACATAAATATTTAAACACAAATATGATTACATTTTTGCCTCTTCATTCCCATATATGCAGGAAGATTAAAAACAACACCTTAGTTGGATACAATCTTGTCTACATCAGACCCCAAATTTTATACAAGATGCTCCAAATAGATGGTGAAACTGTTTCTACCATCTCTGATTGTTCTTATCTAAACTAATTTTATTAAGGGTTCATAAAGTGAACAACATCTTTTCAAGGAAAAAAACAAAATTAGGACTTGTAAAGAAAAAGGATAAACCACAAGCAGTAAGGAGTCATGACTTTCATAACCCACTGACCATTCTCCATTCCTACAAGGTCAATTTATATGTTTCCAAGATCCTTGCTAACTCACTCCTACCTGTAAATCCAAATAAAAGAACAATTTAAAAAGTTTAACAAGGATAGTGATAAATAAAGAATAACCATAAAATATTTCCCTTCAGAAGTTTAACAATGGTTAGCTGACTGGGCTCTGAAATCGGAGCTTTGTTTTTTTCTTCTTTCTTTTTTCACCCTGTATATTGATTGGATTTTCTTCTCTAGTTTCTGGAATGTGGCCTGACAGGTAGAAAGACATGAGATTTATGTGTACTGCCTCAGGTTCCACAGGAATAAAGCTGAGAATCAGTGGAATGTAAAGGAGCTCTCAAACTATGAATAACATAATTAGGTATTATGAGTTATAAAAGAGGAGAATTATTTATGCTCTGTCCACCAATATCTTGTAACTCCTAAAGAATCAAAGAAAAAAAAAAACCAACAACCAAACAAGAAACTATATGGAGTATCTTCTACCTCCAAGGAATAAAAATATCTGCTACCTATATGCACTTGTACAAAGACCAATTGGGCTACCTGCTAAAAATAACAAAATAAAAGAAAAATCCATCCTCAGAGATTATCTTGCTGGCAGCAGTGATGGTACTTTTGGATCAGCTCATGATCAGAATGTCTTGTTCTAAAAACACAAATCCTACTTCAAATCTCTCTTCTTCTCAAAAAAAACCAAAAAAAAAAAAAAAAAAAAGAACCCAAACCAAAATCAGAATTAAAAACTAAGCCAGAATTTGTAAACTGGCTCTGTGCAAGAATTAGACTGAGCACAAATGCCCTCATCAAAAGAAACTACCTTCAAACAGTTGAGCTGGATTCTCAAGGGAGTGACACTGCAGAACAAGTGTGCAGTTTACACCTGCATGTTGTGTACAAAGTCTAGAATCCTGCTGTGTGAGGCACATTTAACATAAAAAGCATTATTCAAATTCCTCTTTTGTTGATAGAACAACTGCAAATCAACACTGAACGTAGTTTATTAGAGACAGCCTTTGCAACAATTAACTATACATCTTTACAGAGAACAGAACAGGAGTGCCAGAGTTGGCCAAGAAACAATCAGATTTTACTCGGATATTTACTCGGATGCATTTTAACGCTGTCTTCAAAAGCAGTCATCGCAGACAGTAACTACAAAAATCCCAGAAAAACAAACTGATACTAATTATTCTAGAACTGGTTTTCTGTATTTCAACAATTTACTTAATAAACAGAAGAGTTCCTCGATCTTGTGGTTAAAAACTACAAGCTGTGTAAAGTTTCCTGCTTTTAACACTTCAACAGCTCACAGAGTATGACTTGTAGTTCCTCCAGTATGAATTTGCAGCAGTAAAGTTCTTAATTTACAATCTACTAGAAGCAAAGGTTGAATTTTTAATGAAGTGTGGTTTGTGGTTTAGTTTTTGGTTGGTTGGTTGGTTTGGTTTTTTCTAATGAAATTACTCAAAAGAACAAAAAAAGTTTTCTTGCTACAAAACCCCATAAAACCTCAGACTTAGTCAAAGACTATATATAATGCAACACTGACTGTGCTAACATAAATGGACACCATGACAAAGACACATGCAAGTACAAGCCAAAGCACATCTGACTACTTTGAGTCCTCATGCTCTGGAAAGCAAGGATATTTCAATGCTACATGTTGCGGTTACCATGGGTTAAGACAACATCAGCAATTAAAATTAGTTACATCAGACTTATCTGGGAATATTCTAATAGTCTATCTTAAGAAATAAATGTGACATTTTGGAATTTGCTTTTCTGGCTGGTCTGAGGACTGCAAAACAGCAACGGTTTATCCAAAGAAAATCTGAAGCACATCTTTGCTGAACAGTAGGACTCAACGTGTCTGAAAAGCCAAAAATCAGCAAAATATCTCAAAATACATTAATTAATAATTGTTTCATTGCTATACTTTTCTTCCCTCCCCTGCAACTGTTTGATGTATTCATGGAGACTCTGCAGGGTAAGGATACTCTTTTTCATTGCACTGTCAACTGTGAGAAGATCATGATTTTATATTGTATACCCTTACTAATACTGCAAATCTAGTTTAAAACAAAAGCAAAGACATTTTCAAATTGGCTACACAAGGGGAGAACAGTTGGACCCCTATTTCACTATTTTACTCATTGAACGAATCTTGACAGCCAGACAAAAGTAATTAGTGGTATTTTTATCTACTGTTATAGCGTGTCAAAGACTTTGAGTTCTTTTTCCACACTTTATTTTAAAAACATAATTTCAACTATTTTAGTTTCAAAAAAAGAAACTAAAATAGAAAGGCTCTGTATCAGCGAGGGACAAAACCCAGTCCCTTTTAGCTATTGTAGTTCTCTGAAGATTTATACTAGTTACATGATCACAGAACTACACTTGTCCTTGTCTTCTGGCTTTTATTTTGTAAGTGGTTTTTATTGCTGTTCTTGAAGGGAGAAGAAAACAAAGGCAGTCCTAAGTAAGTCTTATAAACTAAGGGAGTTTTTAGACAACACACACAAGGCTAAATTATCTTGAATTTGTATCTTTAAGCATCTTTTAATATGTTGGTTTGCAGTCATATTAAAGAGATAGAGAGGTAGTGACAACCCTGTCACTACCTTCTGTGTGACACTGAGGTCCTCCTGCCTCTTAAGCTATAGTACACAAGAATTCTACAGAAGGTAAAATAATTTGTAGGCCAACACTGCCCACTTTTCCCTTCTCTCATTAAGGTGGACTTGTGTGCCATGAGCATGGAATATTGAAAAGTGCATGGAGTATTCAATTCAATGTTCAGCATTAAAATAATACTCCGTGTAATGTGATAGCATCTGGCAATTCAATACACGAGCAGGATTACATTTTTAGATCCCATTTAAGAAAAACAGAAATCTAGTTTCTGCTTTCAAAATCCTACAATCTAATTTGAACAAAATAAACATTCTATGAGATACAGGTTTGTCTGAACCTGTGAGGCAGGTACAGTTACCAAACGTGGGCACATAAAGACCTACTTTAAGAATTTTTAAAGTACAGTGTTTTTCAGCTACAGCTTCAGGTACTATCCCCACTTCTATAATTAGTTTGATATATGCCGTTAAAGGAACGTCCATATTTGCCTGTATTTTGATTTTCTAATCTGCAAAATTTGACTAAAATTGTTCATAAGAGCTGCAGGATTGGAAAGGGAATCATTTTAGCAATTATTCATAAGAAATTCAGTATCTGTAAAGGAGTCCTTTTAGCAATATAAGCCCTATATAATCAAGAAATTCTTCACAGAAAGCATCATGCTGTAGCCATAAGCTTGCTACACATTGCACTCTTTCTCCGAATATTCAAATAAATAATTTTTGACAATATTTCTCTGACTGTACCATCAACTCACACTAATGTGCACTATTAGAAACCGCAACACCATTACAGGACAATTTGCCACCTGTTAGTGCTGTTGTGGAATGCGTGGAAAGCTTAAGGCCAGCTGATACACACTCACGAAATTCTGACAAGGGCACAGAAATTACGTTTAGGAAGAGAATGAGTGATTTCAGGTTGCAAGAAGAGATGGGTGGAAAACAGTAGATTGTTTTAATTTAAATATCATTGTTAAAACAACATGTAGAGAAACAAAACTCTCCCAACTAATATCCTAATACTCAACACCCTAATACTCTCTCAACTAATACTAATATGTACTAATACTAATATATATTATTATAGTCAAGATGATTGTCAGGTTACAACATACATTGCAACAGAGTTTTTGATGAAAACAAGAGCTAGAGGTTCTACTTTCTTTGTGATTTTTATCTTTTCCAAGGAGAGGGAGATTACTTTTATTTATGAACTGTGCAGACATACTGCCAAAAAAATAAACACTGTTTCTCTAAACACAGAATAATTTGATGATAAAAATATAAAGCTTTGAGTCACCTCTACCAAAAATTATATTAGATATATATCAAACCTAGAAGTTTTATTCAGTGACACTAAAAAGAAAACCCTAAGGTATTAAAATGCTAGACATTTTAATGTCTGCAAGACATTTCACTTACAAATTGGCCTAAGGTCTTTTAAGGAGAGCATAAAGTACAGCTTCGGATTCAATCAGGACACTCATTATTTTCCCTTTTAAATGGCTAAAAGAGCTATGTCAAACAGCTATCCTCACACATTCCTTATTGATTTTACTTAGGACCATTATCAGTTATGGTCAGAGTTTTCTGAATTGATTGAATTCTAGCTGCAGTAACAATGTATACACCCATTAGTACCATTTCTGGAAGTTCTGTGAGAGAGAAAGAAAAACTATACACCTTACTATTTAGATTTTAAGCAAATAAAAATATAAAATAAACACATTCATCATTTTCTGCTATGCAGATATGTAAATGTCACCGAGTTAAACATTTTGAAAACCCAAAACCACTAGCAGAGTAAACTTTAACTTTTCCTTAGTGAAACTCCATGCCACTGAATAATATTAATCTGAAATCAAACCTTTTCTTGAATCAATCTCTGTAGATGAATCCCACATGACAACATTGCTGAAAACATGGTGAGCATGTACTGCTGAATTTTGCATATTCCATTTGCCAAGGAATTCAGTACGGCTGTTAATCCCACTTTTTCAATGACACTCTGGAAAGCACTAGGTGAGGAGCGAGTAATTCTGCATAAAGCCTACAAAAGTAAAAAAAAAAAAAATTGTTATTTATTTTGTTATTATGTCAAGAAAGATAATGGAAATTAAAAGCAGGTGGTGAATTTTCCAGTAGTTTAGGAATATAAGGAATTCATACAGATTCATTCATAAGATTAAGGGAAAGATTAGGGGAAAGATTAGGGGAAAGATTAGGGATATTAGGGGAAAAGACTACTTATTTTTAGAGACTTGGAATTCTTCTAAATATAGTGCTATACACTCCATACAGATGAAATTCAAATATTTGCTACACCAACACCAACATCAAACAGAGTCACTCTTTTCCTCTATAGAAGAATAATATTGGAGTAGCACATGCCCATGCTTGAGTCTTTCGTCAAGCACAGAATGTAGGCAGTATTAGATAACACTGTAGTAGCAAGGAGTACAGGGAGCAGAAATTACAGACATGGCACACACTACAGAAATTCTAGCCCCCCTAAAAATGGGCATATTCTCTCTCTCCGCTCATGGACCATAATCTGATATGTTCACTATCTAGAATCTATACTACTACAGATCTAGATACTCGTTATGGAACATTGGTTAGTATAATAAACATGCAAACTATTCTCAAAATGGTTGATTTGCACAAATGAGGGATTAAATTCCAACAGAAAAAGCAGACAAGTGACCATGCTCCAGTGAAGTGAGCACAAACCTGTTCAGTGTTTACTAACTTAGTTATTTCCTAACAAACATTACCAAACTACCTCCAGGGTGGATTCATCTCCAAGTCAGCTTTTCCTTTTGATACCTGTGAAAATGCAACCTTCAAGATATTGTAACTGCTTTTGTTCTCTACAGATAAAGAAAAAAAGACTCTTTAAACACTAAAAATTTCTTTTTCTTTGGCTTGAATGTACTGTTAGGATAGGAGAACAGCTTATGTCAATTATTTGATTCACATGAAAACCTGAATTGATTTTCAGGAAAAACTTTGAAGGTGGTTTTCTTCTATGTAAAGTAGGTAATATTTACAATTTCTTTGTTCTCTTCAGACCACCTATATTTAGAAATTGCTGCTTATGTGGTGTGCACTCAATAGCGAGGTCTCATTTAAGAGAAACTGTAGTCATTACACATGCAGAATACTATCACTAGAGAAAAGCTTTCCATGTAAGAACCTCAGAAACTGCCCAGTTCCCCAGTGCCCTCTGAAACATTACTCAAAACAAACTAGAAAAAAAAAAAGGCACAAAAGGCAGTAAATCAGGAATTTAACAGACAAGTTATTGATGCTGTTCTGCTATTCATCTAATCTGCTCCTGCTCTTCCTTGTCCTTTCTGGTCCAGGAACCAAATCGACTGCAGCTTTTAATTTTTCTTCTTTTATTATTTTCCCCCTCCCCTCTTTTAAACCACAGACACTCAATCTCAGTTTCTTAGTACTTGCTTTATTTCCCCAAGAACACAACACAGCCCTTCACCTCTATTCAGAGTTCTCAAAATGAGTGGGCAGGAGGTATGTGCATTCACCAAAAATATCCTTGAGGGTCATATTACAAATGAACTGCTGGAACTCAGGGACAGACTGTGTCAAAGCAACATGGAGCTAACTTGGTGTGCTAACATGGTGTCATGCAGGCTTGACAATGCCTTGGTTCTCTGTTACAGACCTTGTCAAACAAAGGTGACCATAGCCACAAGCCATCAGATGACTTCCATGCAAATCTCATAGGAAAGACATAGCTGTCTTCTAGGATCACACTGAAGCATTGGAGGCAGAAGGAAAGCTCCAGCCCGCCAACAGCCAAAGGGAGAAGCCTTAAACTCCCAGTAGTTTGTGTGTCACAGAGCACTCTGCTGTATGAGTGAGCCCAACACTTCAGCAGAAAAGCAGAAGATAGAATTTAATGGGGGATACAGGACAAAGCATTCTAAATCACTTCAGTAGATCCAGTACCTGGAGAGAACAGGTGGAAATGGGTCAAAAGGTGGTGGAGCAGGAATTGGAAACTGGTATCTCCAGGCAGCAGTCTTGGAAATGTTCACAGTGAGAGTAAGGCATTGTCAGAGCTTCTCCTGGAATTGGTTTCTCTGTCCCTGCTCTCTGCCCAGCCTCAGCCAGCATCTTTTCTCTCAGCAGGTCCAACCCTAGCCTCATCATCCTTATCAGTCACTTCAAACTTGAGATTTCTATGATTCTATGATCTATCCTTCTGGTCTTACATACCACATGTGACTGGATAGCATTCACCCTTTCAGGGTGTCCTACATGTCTCTCAAGTTTGAGAATGAATGCATAAAAGTATCTGCAATACACAAATCTCTGAAAGAAACTATACAGCACCAATTATTTAAGAAAAAAAAAAGAAACCAAATCCCCAAAAATATTGTGTTGAGTTTTCCCAAACTAATTTCCAATTAAGTGGCTTATATTTTGTTACTTCTCTTCCAGTAGAAAAAGCTTAGAAATGAGATTTTAAATTCTTCAAAAAAAATTTAAAAACTTTCAGTATACTGCAAAGAAAATATTCTTCCTGCTGCTGAGCTTGTCAGAATATCACCTTGACATCTTACAGATTTTTTTTTTCTAGCAAAATGATAAAAAGACATAACTTTTCTACAGGCAAAATATGTGATGTGTACCTGAGGCATGTTGGACCCCAAAGAGAAAAATAATACTGAGACACAGTCCTCATTTGCCACCTCTGACAGGCAAGGAAAGTTAAAGTGTAATTTCTTGACTCCAGAGACTAAACACAGAGAATCTTCTTGATAGATTTTTATTATTGATTGAAATAATGATAAGTAAAAGTCCATAGTGCCTTACTGCTGATGCTTTGCAGACAGAATGGTAACTCTAAGTAAAGATATGACACATGTATTTCTTAAAAGAAATGTACTTTTACATCTGAATATAGATGTCAGTCACAAATAAATTCTTCAGGATACATTCAAACAAGGTAGGAAATAAAATAAAATAGAACACTGATGATATCAGCTTATGTGGTCATGCAGAATAAAAATGCCTAGATATCTGTAGCAACAATTTAATGAATATAGAAATCATATAGTATACTATAGCTGGAGAATACATTAGTATTTTATAATTAGTATCTCACTGAAATCTCCATAAACTTCAGCTGGTAAAAAATCTGCCTGCACTAGATTTCAATATCGATTGATTGATTTTTTTCCTAAAGTTAAGATTATATACCCAAATGCCTCAGCAGTATTAATACATATGCATGATTTATATCAAGCATTGAGTAGTAAGTTCTTCCTTTAGTGTTTCATTACAAAGCAGCAAAAACTACAGGCTGGTCAGTCTCACTTCAGTGCCTGGTAAAGTTATGCAGAAGATTGTTATGAGAGGTACTGAAAAACACGTGAAAGACAACAGTCATTGGGCACAGCCAGCATGGCTTCATGAGACGGAAGTTCTGCTTATCAAACCTGATCTCCTTTTATGACAAGGTAATCCATCCAGTTGATAAGGGAAGCCAGTTGATGTAATCCTTTTGGATTTCAGTAAAGCTTTCGATACTATCTCTCACAGGATCCTTGTAGACAAAATGTCCAGCACACAGCTGGATAAACACATCATGTGGTGGGTGAGCAATTGGCTCATGGGTCAAGCATGGAGGGTTACAGTGAATGGGGTAACACAGGACTTGTGACCTGCCACTAGTGAGGTTCTTCAGGGCTCTACCTTGAGTCCTACAAAGAGACCTTGACAAATTAGAGGACTGGGCAATCAGCAAACATATGAAGTTCAACAAGGGGAAGTGTCAGATTCTGCACCTGGGATGGGGCCCTGGATGTACGTACAGACTGGGGAATGAGATGCTGAAGAGCAACGCCACGGAAAGAGACCTGGGAGTTTCGGCTGTGGCAAGTTGGATATGAGTCAGCAGTGCCCTGGAAGCCAGGAGGGCCAACTGTATCCTGGGGGGCATCAGGCAAAGCATCACCAGCCAGTCAGGGGAGGGGATTGTCCCTCTCTGCTTTGCACTGGTGCAGCCTTACCTTGAATATTGTGGCAGTTTTGGTCACTGCAATATAGGGAAAGATATTAAACTATTAGAGAGCATCCAAAGGAGGACAATGAAGATGGTGAAGAGCCTTGAGGAGAAGCCGTATAAGGAGCAGCTGAGGTCACTTGGTCTGTTCAGCTTGGAGGAGACTGAGGGGAGACCTGATCACAGTCTACAACTTCCTCATGAGGGGAAGAGAAGGGGGAGATACTGATCTCTTCTCTGTGATGGTCAGTGACAGGACCTGAGGGAATGGCCTGAAGTTGTGTCAGGGGAGGTTTAGGTTGGATATTGGAAAGAGGTTCTTAACCCAGAGTGTGTTTGGGTCCTGGAACAGGCCCCCCAGGGCAGTGGTCACAGGCACCAAGCCTGACAGAGTTCAAGAATACTGTCAAGAAGACAGTATTCTCACACGATGTGACTCTTGGGGATGGTCCTGGACTAGATGATCATTATGGGTCCTTTCCAACTTGGCATATTATGTGATTTTGTGAAGATGTTGAAGAAATTTTGTCTCAGTAGACCTCAGTGTGCACACACAACTTGGTCATCTTTTTAAAATGCAGGCCTCAACACCAAAGTATGCATTGCTAAAAATCTGAGAGAGAAATGGTAATAAGATTATAGAAAGCCATCATTTTTACTTAGATTGACAACTGTCATTGAAAGGATGTTCCACAAATCAGCTGAGTTTCTCTAGGAAATTCTGGTAATTGCGGTTATCATGACCTCCTAAAACACATTGCTTCATCCTAACATATGTCATCTATAAGAGGGCTTCTAGAGCAGTATTTGAGGACTGATAAGCTTTATAACAAAAATTCAAAGATTTCAAACAGAAATAAAAAATCAGGAGGCAAAAGCTTGGCAAAAACAGTGTCATTACACGTCACAGTGTCAACCCAGGAGTGTCAGATTATTCAATTTGAATGTGTAGCATTAAATATTGCAACTTACTATACATGTCACTGCATTTAACATCCCTAGCTGAGCAAGAAGCCCATAAAGATCAGGTTGCTCTATCACAGCTGCAGGAACAAGAGGTGAAGGAACTAAGGAACTGAAAATCTATGATACTTTCAATCACTTGGAAGAGACCACACAAACACCAGCACTGTTTGACTGAACTGAGCAATTAATAAAGCCTTATTGACTAGTATGTAGTGGTAGCAGATAATGGACACAAAAAGAGAAAAAGAAAGAAAAAAAAAGAGTGGCAAACTAGGCTACAATAAGCTTTTCAGGTTTTAACTTCCTCTTACACATTTTTTGCTAAGTTCCACTTAAGATACATGAAGATTTTCTTCTCATCAGTAGTGCTTAAGAGAGGCTAGATATCCGTAACATCAACACTATGACAAAGAAAAGATTTCTTAGTGACTCACCTCAACCTTAAAGCCTTGGGAGGATCGAATGATCTGGGACCTCAAAACAGGCTGAAGATAGAGTGGGACAAACAACACAATTTCTCATAGTCACTAGACACTTAATTTAAGGGCAAAGTGTGCAAACTGTATGGCATTGACAATAACCTCAGAGCCCATGGCTACAGAAGGCCGTAGTGCGTCTACACTGATGACAAGTTTATCCTTGACAATCAGAAGTATAATTCTGCATATTACTGGACAGAAAAAAGCTCTTGCCCACCTCAAGCATATTATATTGTCCAAGAAGAAACCGACTTTTCAATAGCAAAAAAACAAAAGACAAACCCACACATTTCCTCTGATGATCTTTCTTTGCTCATTGTCCGAATGTAATTGAGACAGAGAGTTTCTCTGGGATATGCTGGTCACTGTGGTACACAAAAGAGGTATAATTGGCCAACTGGGCCCTGCAAACGGAGCAGTTCTGGAAGTCTGCTGTAGGAGTCAACAGAATGGTAAATGAAAAAAGCAAAGTTCTCCAAGTGGATAGGCAGAAAAACAGGAATAAAACTTCAGGATGAACTGAAAGAGAAAAAAATAAGGGGCTATGACCTAATAGCAAAAAAATAACAAGTGCCCAGTCTAATGATTGACAAGAACAGAAAGCACAAGATATGAAACATCCCTTATAGCAAAAGTAGTGGTAGGAAAGATCAAGCAGGCTACTTTAAAAACCCAGTAAGTAAAGGAAATTATAACTCTAATCTTAAGTCTTTTACTATATATACAGTCTTGATGTAAGCATAAAACTCACAGCTCAAACAGGTAAAGTATCAAAAAGACTCTGTCTGGAAAAGCAGTCTAATAGACACTCACACATATACTTTACATATTTAGAGACTGACAATTCTCTATCCATAAAAGTCCTAAGAGTGTTTTTGCAAAGAATTTCAGGTGCAAAGGCTTCTGTAACATGTATTTTACTCAATAAGTTTCCTGTTCTAAAATGTCAAGACATTTTCCCAATATTTGAGCAGTTTATGTCTCAGGCAAGACTCTGCCATAAATACACGAGATAAATAATTAATAAATGCATATATGTTTTAAATTATCAGTTTATCCTACTATTTATTTCTTCAGCCACACATCAGATATATTTTTAATTCTCTCTCTTTTATTGCCTCAATGCTAGATGTGTCTACCTGCACACTGCTGCAGGAGAAAGGTTACCATTTCCCATCTGGGAGGCCAACAGTAAACTCATCAGTGAGCCTGACCTCTACTTAGGAAATCAGTATCCACTTATCACACTTCATTTAAAATAAGACAACCTATTGTTCAGTTCTAAAATATTACCTGTATTGGTGGGTAATGCTTTTGTTTTGTCAAGAAGAGATACGGTTAAAGTCACAGACCTGCTAAGTATTTTCTATCTCACAAGTCCTTTTGTTCCAAAACTTTTTCTTCCACAACATAGCTCTGTTTGTCCTGTTATCATCCTATATTACCTTAAAAATTCAGTGCAAAGCCTAGCCCTGACAATTTTATAGAAAGTAACATGATGATATCAAATAAGTCTTCTAATTAAGTCTGTGATAAGAGAACAAACACTTCTCATTTAAAACATCATACAAAAAAGAAATTTCAACTTTGCAAAAATTTAATTGATTCTTCGAAAGTTTAAACTTTTCAAACATAACTCATGATTACCAACATAAGAAAATATATGTTTCAGAAAATGATGAATCACAAGGACTTTTCATAAGCATGGAACTGTAATGCATGCACTTTTCAGTTTCAGAAATTTTTAAAACATATTTTAATGTAGTCTGAAATATAAATACACACACACACAGCAAACATGCTCAAACATGTTTCAGTGTCAATTCAGAATGTTTTTCAATGCCAAAACATTTCTATGTCACAGAAGGAAATTCCTTACCGAAACAGCAGTTATCTTCAAAGAATCTACTGCAGAATGTGTGAAAAGGTACCACAAGACAGGTCCAATTTCTCCTGTAATAAATCCTTGTGCATGGCATGCACGAGTAGTGCAAACATTTTCAATTATCTTTGCTGCCAAATGGTTCACTACCCGGTCTTCCTGTAAGAAGGAGAGGAAAGGGAAACTCATATACAAATGTTTCTAATATTTCTGATTTGTTTTTAAACTACCACCTATGTCCACATTTTTTTCCATGTATATTGTCTTGGTGTGGTTTCTTAATTTTATTTGACACTTGCCAAAGTAATTTCAGAGGAAACCTCATGTTGTGACCAAGTTATGTTTACAGATCCTACTTCCCTCCACTTTGCCTTCTAATGCAAAGACAATTTAGTACAAGTATAACTTAGTACTAAACCTTTCGGCTCCAAATGACCACGCCAAATTAAATGCAGTCATTAAAAATGAAAAGCTTTTGTTATGTTAGAGGTGTTCCATGAGCAGAACTTTCTGAATGAATGAATATGTGTCAAAACTCATCAATACAACAGGCTCTGAATAGCAAGATTATGAGATATACAGTTACATTAGGGAAAAATTAAATTAATTTCATTAAACCCTCTTTATTCAGAAGAGTCAACAATCCCTGGGATAAAGAAAAAGCCTTCTTGCAATTTAACACCCTTCTCTTCTTCTCCTGAAACAGACAATCCTGAACAATGTTTAAGACAAATTACTGTGTCCCATTTACTACATGAATTCCTAAACTTCCATAAGAGACTCTGAATCCTGAGTATTTTTAATACTAATTAAATCATTTTATCTGCAAACTCATTTGTGGAGAGCCACTGTACATGCAGCTCTAATATCTATGTAATACTATACATACTATAATGTCTCCGTGGAATAAAAAACGTCATGGCAGAATAATCATGAGCAATCAGCACACCATGAACATCACATGGCAGCAGTTTTTTCTCAAGAAAACTGTTACTGACTCAAATGAAAGCTTAACTTAATACATACCAGTTAAAAGCAGTCTACTTTTTCTCTCTCTCTTTTCCCTCTAATTTCTTTAGTATCTCTTCTTTCTTCTTTTTTCTTCACTCTGCTTTCACTTAAAATCAGTATTTAACAGAACTGGAAGATATATTGCTGGTGCTTTTTTGGCTATGCATTGCTGCACCTCATCTCAGTCTTTAATTACAGAATAAATGAAGTCTTTCAACAATGTCTTAAATGGCACTCTTGAATTCAGCAAGAGTGAATTTTAATGTAAGAATTTGTCCTCATAGCCTGGCTTCACAAATAATTCATCATAATATCTAATTGATTTCTTTCTTAAACTAATCTCTAATATTATCCTGCTAACCTTTGGATTTCTGACATTTATCTTTACAATCAGAGCCACCAACAACTTTGAGCAATGACAATGAGACCTTTCAGAAAGCAGTACAAAAGCCTTCCCAAAGGGGAGAACTTCATTAAAAATATACTCAATAGCTACTCTTCCTTCTACTGACTTAGGTATTTTAAAATATAGATACTGATGTAGATATATTTGGAAACCCTAGTATAATGTTGTAAAAAAAAAATAGAAAATTTTGTATTCGTCATTTTCATGCTAATCCTTCCTGTTCCTCCAAAGAACTGCAGACCTACTCAGAACAGTTAAAAGAAATACTGAAGCCAATTTCCATCTAAATCAGTTACACTCTTTTATAAAACTTCACTGATTTCTGTGGTCTTCCTTCTGATTCACAGACCAGAGGATTTAGGCTTCTATCTTTTTACAGTTTTCATTAATGCAATACATTGCATCATTTTGATCTATTAAAGACCTAAGTATACAAATATTTATACATGTTTACCAAATTAAAATTCTCAAAACCTTTTATGAATAATGTTCAGTTTTAATATTTTTCTGTGAATTATACTTATGAATTTCAGTCTTTTTTTTTTGAACAGTTAGGGTAAAAATACATGGATTTATCAAACTGACTATATGCATGTAACAATCCAATCCATTACTGAAACATTAATAGTCAAGTTAAGTCTCTCTTATATTGGATGTGAATACTAAGAATGCCAATTGGGACTCCAATCCTACTTTAAGCAGGCATAAACACTTAATAAATGAACTATAATCTCATTAATTAATCATAATCAAAGCAATATACAGCAGATAATAGTTATCATTAATGTAAACAAATTTCCAGATGCAATTACAGCTTTTCTTTGCAAAATTTGGTCCTGTAGGCATGCTTTATTTCCTTTCAGCCACAGATGAGTTATGCCCTGTTGCAGATAGTCGTGCTACTTTGGCTAGAAAAAGGTCATGTACCATCTCTAAAAATTCAATGACGCCGTCGAAGTTAGTCTAACTGCTGCCACCTGAGACCATCCATTTCAGCTCCTCTGGGATCATCTATTTCAGCTCCTCTTCTGAGCATCATCTAAGCAACATGACTTGCGCCATTTTCTGCTTAATTAGCTGCCTGGGCGAGAAATCTGATCTAAACTAATATTTGGCCTCTTAACTAAATGAGTCATCCACGGATGTTACCAGGACATAAGCTTTGTTAGTGAACAGAAGTGGATCTTCAAGATATGAGGAAAGCAGTTCCATGTATCAGTTACACTCTGTCCATATCATGAACTGCATCAAATCTAAATCTATGAATAGAACAGTACAAAAAAAGAAGCACATGCTTTATTTTCAGTGGGTTTAGATTCCATCTAGTTTTATAAAACACACTTAAAGCTCCTAATTTTCAGTCATGTAGAACAATTGCAGATGTATCTGTTTCCAGTAAAGTCATGGATGCTTAGTGGAAAAGAGCCCTGAGTGAAAATGCAAATACTGAAAGAGTAAATAGCTGAAAACTGCTAAAAGAGAGCTCCTTTTAATCAAGTCTTTCTATTCCAATTTTGAGGGGGGAAATGCAAATAAACATCATAAAAGAATCTACTTTCACTTTTTGAAATAACTGAATCTACTGCATATTTTTATCAACTGTTAAAAACTTCACAGTGCACTAAAAGTTTTGGAGGCAGTGAAGGTATAGTCACTATGCTAACCAACATACTACCTAAAAGTAGCATAATTCTGTTCTATTAAAGGTTAAGATAAAATATTTTATGATCTTTCGAAAGTAAGTTTGCTGATGGAACTAAGCTGAGATGTTGACTCCTTTAAAGGCAGAGAGGCCCTGCAGAGAGACCTTGACATATTAGAGGACTGGGTAATGATGAACTGAAGAGCAAGTGCTGGATTCTTCCCCTGAGATGGGGTAACCCTGGAGGTATGGACAGATTGGGGAATGAGATGCTGGAAAGCAGTGCCACAGAAAGAGATTTGAGAGTCCTGGCTGATTGCAAGTTCAATTTGAGCGAGCAGTGCCCTGGAAACCAGCAGGGCCAACCGTGTCCTAGGGGGCATCAGGCAAAGCATTGCCAGCCGGTCAAGTCAGGGGATTGTCCCACTCTGCTCTGCACTGGGGCAGCCTCACCTTGAATATTGTGTGCAGTTTTGGTCACTGTAATATAAGAAAGATATTAAGCTATTAGAGAGCATCCAAAGGAGGGCAATAAAGATGGTGAAGGGTCTAGAAGAGAATCTATATGAGGAGTGGCTGAGGTCACTCGGTCTGTTCAGTCTGGAGGAGACTGAGGAGACACCTCATCCTGGTTGTCAGGTGAAAGGTGAGAGTTTAGATTTTTGACTGTCGGTACCCCAGGAGAGTCAAGACCCTGGTGTCCAACAGTTTGTCAGCATCTCGTAATGAGATCACCAACAAATCCTCAAGGTCAGAGGGTACTTCAACCACCCTTTCAGGGGGGACTCAACAGAGAGAAGACCCCTCAGCAGGTGTTATCCACTGCCGGCAACTGCAAGGATTCACTTTAAGAGTTTACGTAATAACACTTTTTATTAATAAGAATTGTGACAGATTAATAAAGTTCAAAGGTTGTCAGTGATAGTCTATGGCAAAAATATGTTTTAAAGCAATCTACATATATTAATGATATATATGCTTAATATATTAAGCAAGCACAAGCTCTGATATGAAGCACTCTACTAATATACTACGTGGTAAGCACAAGCAAAAGTTCTAGTCCTAAAAGCAGCATTCAATGTGTGTAGAGTATATTTCTCACCCAAGGTGTCCCTCTGGGGGGGAGAGAAGGTGGACTCAGCCCATCGACTGATCCCAGCAGTTTCGGTGGAGGTCTTCTCCCACTTTCCCCCTATCTCCAACTTACTTTTATACTATTTTCTTTATGTTTGGGTGGAGTTTGAGTGGCTCTAGTCATAAATACCTTCTATTTCTGATTGGTGTACCTAATAGGGGCAGGGGGGTGATGGTCATGGCTTGGCACCTGAGGAGGGGTTTTGACAAGGTTGTTGGCTTCAGCAGCAGAGCATCTTGATTTTCCCTTGTCAGACAGGTACTGTACAGTCTCAGTACAACAATGTTCTCCCATTCTGCTGGGATTAAAATGCAGGGGGGCCATGTAGTCTCCACTTTGTTCCATACTCTGTTCTGTTTCTCCGAGCAGATGTGAATTGTTGTATTGGGTAGCATGTCAACCTCAGTCCATCCAGGGAGTTGCAGCTGCTTTTTACCCTAAAATTCTGAATCTGCTCTAGGTTTAACTCTATCCATCATCCCACAGTGGTCTTCAACATCTTCATGAGGGGAAGCGAAGGGGCAGGCACTGATCTCTTCTCTCTGGTGACAACTCACAGGAACAGCATGAAGCTGTGTCAGGGGAGGTTTATGTTGGATATTAGAAAAAGCTTCTTCACCCAGAGGGTAGTTGGGCACTGGAACAGGCTCCCCCCCCCAGGGAAGCGGTCACAGCACCAAGCCTGGCAGAGTTCAAGAAGCATTTGGCCAATGCTCTCAGCCACATGGTGTGACTCTTGAGGTGACCTGTGCTGGATTTAGGGTTGGACTCAATGATCCTTGTGGGTCCTATCCAAACTGTGACATTATATGGTTCTATGATCTTTTTATGCTATACTATATATATATATGTGTGTGTGTGTGTGTGTGTGTGTGTGTGTATACGCACACATTTGAGTAACCACATCATACTGATAAAGAAACATTAAAAGCTGAAAGATTCAGCAAGTAACACTGTATTCCATC